GAATTTTGTCAACAAGTGACGCAATTTACCTATGTGGACGCCGAGCACAATTGCTCACCGAGAAATGCGAGGTTGGAACCCATTCCATGCTGGCAATCAGGGCTTCACTCGCCGAGATCAAGCACTTCCTCAGGGATGATGTTCACACGATCGCCTGTGTCAATGCTCCGGCCGAGACTGTCATCAGTGGCCTTGCCTCGGACATCGAGGACTTGGCTCAGAAATGCTCCACTGAGAACGTCAAGGCAACCAAACTACGGGTCCCGTACGCGTTTCACTCCCCGCAGGTTGATCCTATTTTGGACACATTTGAGGCTATTGCCCAGGGCGTTACATTCCACAAACCCACAACTCCTTTCGTCTCGGCCCTCCTTGGTGAGGTCATCACAGAGGCTAATGCTCATGTTCTCGGAGCTAAGTACCTCAAGGACCATTGTCGGGGCACTGTCAACTTCCTTGGCGCGCTGGAAGCAATTAGGCACGCAAAATTAGCCGATGACAAGACGCTGTGGGTTGAACTCGGTTCTCACACCATATGCTCTGGGATGATCAAGGCAACACTTGGGCCCCAGGTGACCACCATTGCCTCTCTTCGACGAGAGGAGGATACATGGAAGGTCCTCTCAAGTAGCATGTCTGCATTGCACTTGGCGGGCATTGATCTGAACTGGAAACAGTACCATCAAGACTTCAGCTCTTCTCATCAAGTACTGCGTCTCCCTGCCTACAACTGGGATCTTAAGAACTATTGGATCCCGTACACCAATAATTTCTGTCTGTCTAAGGGAGCGCCCGTTGCAGCCATTGAGACTGCACCAAAGTACGAATATCTCACCACTGCAGCTCAAAAGGTCATTGAGACTCGAAATGAGGGGGACACGTCCACAGTGGTCGTTGAGAATGACCTTGACCATCCAGAGCTTCGCCGCGTCATTCAAGGACACAAAGTGAACGGAGCCAATCTCTGCCCATCAGTAAGTGCTCGTTATGTTTGGCTTCTCGTCTCACCACAGCTGCGCTAACCACTGATACAGTCTCTTTATGCCGACATTGCTCAAACGCTTGCAGAGTACTTAATCAATAAGTATAAGCCTGAGTTCAAGGACATGGGTCTTGATGTGGCCGACGTGTCTGTTCCCAAAACACTTATAGCGAAAGGTGGCCAGCAACTTTTCAGAATTTCTGCAACGGCAACCTGGGCGGAGCAACGTGTGTCTATCCAGATTTACTCGGTCACCACGGAAGGAAAGAAGACCGCTGAACATGCAACATGCACGGTGAAATTCTTTGACTGTGCTGCTACACAGAAAGAGTGGAAGCGCATGTCCTACCTCATCAAGAGGAGCATTGACCGTCTGCATGAAATCGCAGAGAACGGAGAAGCGCATAGGCTTCAGAGGGGCATGGTGTACAAGCTCTTCGCTACCTTGGTTGACTACGATGACAACTTCAAATCTATCCGCGAAGTCATTCTAGACAGCGATAATCACGAAGCCACCGCAAGGGTGCAGTTTGAAGCTCCGGCGGGAGACTTCCATAGGAATCCATTCTGGATCGACAGTTTTGGGCATTTGTCGGGTTTCATCATGAACGCGAGTGACGGCACCGACTCCAAGTCGCAAGTTTTCGTGAACCATGGCTGGGACTCGATGCGCTGTCTGAAGAAGTTCTCTAAAGACTCCACCTACAGGACCTACGTCAGAATGCAGCCCTGGCAGAACTCCATATGGGCTGGTGACGTCTACGTCTTCGAGGGCGACGAGATCATCGCTGTTTACGGATCTGTTCAAGTAAGCCCCATTGTCGTGCTGTCATATTTGCAGGAAGCTGACCACATTTCAAACAGTTCCAAGCATTGCCTCGTAAGATTCTCGACACTGTGCTTCCGCCCGCTGGAGCTGCCAAAGCCTCCGCCCCCGTTCGTCCTACTGCAAGTGTGATCCAGAAGCCCGTGCCTGCTGCAGGCAACAAGACCCGTGCTAAAGCTCCTACACCCACGAAATCACTCCTGAAGTCGAGTGGACCCAGCGTTATCGTGCGGGCACTCAGCATCCTTGCAGCTGAAGTAGGCCTCTCCGAGTCCGAGATCTCGGACGACTTGGTCTTCGCCGATTATGGAGTGGACTCTTTGCTATCTCTCAATATCACCGGACGGTACCGTGAAGAGCTGAACCTTGATCTGGACTCGTCGGTCTTCATCGACCAGCCGACCGTCAAGGACTTCAAGCGATTGATAGCTCAGATCAGCCCTTCGGAAAGCAGCGACGGGTCTACCAGTGATCCAGAGTCGAGCTTCTCTTTCAATGATGGTTCGGACGAGTCGGGTTTAAGCTCCCCGGTAGTTGACTCTCCTCCCAACGAAAAGGAGATGGTGATCGAGGTCGACCAGCATGCTACCATGAAGGAGATTCGTGCGATCATCGCGGATGAAATTGGTGTGGCTGAGGATGAGCTCAAGGCAGATGAGAATTTGGGTGAGATGGGAATGGATTCTCTTCTCTCCCTCAATGTCCTAGGCAGGATCCGTGAAACACTGGACATGGATCTCCCAGGCGAGTTCTTTATCGAGCATCAAACTCTCGAGGAGGTGGAGACTGCTCTCGACCTGAAGCCCAAGGCCGCGCCGATCCCGGAGCCTATAAGACTTCCGGAGGTGCTGCCGACGAGGAAGTCGAATATCAATGTGCGTGCTGCTCAACACCCCCCGGCAACCTCGATTGTCCTACAGGGCAATCCCAAGACTGCTACGCAATCATTGTTCCTGTTCCCTGATGGATCCGGCTCGGCCACATCTTACGCAACGATTCCCCGGGTTGGTCCCGACGTCTGTGTCTACGGGCTCAACTGCCCCTACATGAAGACGCCAGAAAACTTGAAGTACCCTCTCCAAGAGCTTACCTTCCCTTATCTCGCCGAGGTGCGGCGCAGACAGCCCAAGGGCCCTTACAACTTTGGCGGTTGGTCGGCTGGCGGCATTTGCGCCTACGATGCTGCCCGCTACCTGATTCTCGAAGAAGGCGAACGAGTTGACCGTCTCCTCCTTCTCGATAGCCCTTTCCCTATTGGACTGGAGAAGCTTCCGCCACGGCTGTATCGGTTCTTTGATTCAATCGGATTCTTCGGCGAAGGCAGATCCGCGCCTCCGGCCTGGCTCCTCCCTCACTTCCTGGCCTTTATCGATTCCCTGGATGCGTACCGCGCCGCACCGCTCCCGTTTGACGATCCTAAATGGGCCAGCAAGATGCCCAAGGTCTTCCTTATCTGGGCCAAGGATGGCGTCTGTAACAAGCCCAATGATCCACGTCCGGAACCCGCTGCCGATGGCAGCCCTGATCCGCGGGAAATGAAATGGCTGCTGAACAACCGTACCGACCTTGGTCCCAACAAGTGGGACACGCTTGTGGGGCCGAGCAACGTCGGCGGCATCACGATCATGGAAGAAGCGAACCACTTCACCATGACCCTGGGCACGAAGGCCAAGGAGCTGTCGAACTTCATTGGCCATGCTTTGGCGAACTAGAATGACTGGATGCTTGCATTGTTTTGCAAATAATACCAATTGCTTTTGTTACCCTAGATAGTCACGATATATTTTGTTGGTTGTCACGATTTTGTATTGGTTAGTCCTAATGGAAGTACATGATCTACCAGGCTTGTCTCGTCCTCGTTAATGACTCTTGTCAGGTTGTCCATGGTGTTGAAATAGCTGGAAGCAGACGAGGTTCCGTCCACGCTCGCCAACCGACTTAGTATTTGGATCGGTACAACCTTTGTAGGATATTGTAGTCAGCATCGCCTATCGCCTTTTACGAGGGTGACTGCGCAAAAAGACAGTCGAGAGAGCAGTCCGAACTACCTTCCTTCCTCCTCCTATCTCCCGCCCTTCCCCACCTTACTCCAAGTCCAACAGTACAGTTAAGGCTAATTCACGCACCCCGTTACTTCATCACAGCCCACCGCATACAACCAGACTCCCCTCCCAAGAGCAAGATCCGATACAGCACGATCCATCCAACACAGAACCCGAGCACGGGACTCTCAACGTCCCGAGACCGGGCCAGAGGTAATGTAACCCTTTACATACTGACACTGACACTGACACTGACATCCTAGCTAGCTAGCTAGCTAGATAGACAGATAGGGAGGGCTGGATCATGCTGTCCTGTATGCACTGTACATACTCTCCCCTCGACGACAAAGCAGCCCCGCCCCGCCCCGCCCCGCCCAGCTCAGCCGTCCATTCCCTACCTACTTCTCTATCAAGATGACTCGGTCTTGGATCGAGGATCTCCGTGTGCCTGTTATTGTGTAGATATCCATCTACAGCTCAGCTACAGCTACAGCTACAGCTACAGTTCAGTTCAGTTCAGTTCAGTTCTTCTACGAGAATAAAACACACCTCCCATATCGAATTCGAAATCTAAAACTAGATTTGCCTCTTAGGAGGGCCGGGGGGACGCGGTGGGATGGATGGTGGATTAGATAGATGGATGGGTGGATGGTTGGTTAGGTCTATGCTTTTGCAATTGGATTCTTGGATTCGTGGTGTCAGGGGAAGATGGTGGATAGATAGATGGTTTCATACATTGTTCTGTCTTTGGTTTGAATCTGGATTTGCCCTTTGGAGAGTGGGGGCTTGGTGGTGTGATGTATAGGGTGTGTAAGGTGATTGGGTTAATGGGTTGAAGAGGGGGTATGCTTGAGTGGAAGATTTGAGTTGAGGGGACTTGGGACTTGAACTATGCAAGGGTGTCGCTATGAGGGGGCTGAGGAAGGGATATCAGGACGAAGCAAGGAAAGAGATAAGTACCGGTAAAGGGGGAGAGGGGGTCAGGTGGTAGTGCATCTTGCATTAGTGCATGCATGTATACATCCATAAGGATTTGGAGGGGTTGGGATTTGAAGGTGGAGGTGGAGGGTGGCGGTGTGTGAGGAAGGGTGAAAAGTCTTCTCCGGAAAGGGTTGATTCGTAGCCCCGATCTATCTTTGCAGCAGCTGGACTAGAAAGTCATCTCCGAGCTGAAGCGTAGCGCGCTGCCCCGCCCCGTGCTCAGAGACGAACCGTTGCCGCCATGGTTGTTGATGCCCGGGCTGGTGGGGCGGCTGGCCGTCCATTTGGGACTGCGCGGCTGGGTGCTCGTCGAGCGCGTCGAGGGCCGGTTCTTGCGGATCTCGCGCAGCTCCTCCTCCTTCCGGCGCAGGAGGTCCTCGCGCGAGGCGAGCGCGGCCTCCAGCTCCAGGGTGCGGGCCAGGTGGCGGGCCTCGTCGTGCTGGAGGTTGAGCTCGCGGAGCCGGCTGGCGTCGCCGGCCACCTTGCGCTTGAGGGACTCGTTCTCGTCGCGCAGCTGGCGGTTCTCGTTGCTGGACTGCGCCGCGACGTTCGACGCGGTCTGGTACTGCTCGCGCGTGTACTCGGTCTGCTTGGCCTCGTAGTCCGCCTTGCGCTCCAGCCCGCTGTTCTCCTTGGTCAGGCGGCGGATCTCCTCGCGCGCGGTCTCCAGCTCCGCGGCCATGCTGCCGGCGTCGCTTTTCAGGGCCGCGCGCGCCTGCTCGAGCTCGTGGCGCAGCTGCGTGCGCTCGTCTTTGATCTTGGTCAGCTCCTCTTTGCTCTTCTCACTGCGCTGCTCGGCCAGCGTCTTGGCTTCGACGAGCTTGTCCCGTTCGCGGCGCAGCTTGTGGAAGTCCCTGGTGCGCGTCTCGTAGCGGTGCTGCAGTTGCTCCAGGACATGGTCGCGTTCTTGCAGGCGGGCCTGGGTCTCAGCGAGCGTCTTCTGGAGTCTTTGGATTTCGTTCGCATGCGAACTGCGGAGCTGAACGAGGTTGCTCTCCAGTGATCTGAGCTCGCCGTCGAGGGTCTGGCTGGGGAATCTGGTCGACTCGGTAAGTTGGCTGGCATCTTGCGGTTCCTCTATCCTGGGCCGCTTGGCGGTTTGCTCGCTGGATTCTTCCGTCTGTGTGATCTCTGTTTTAGGTTCAGGGAACTTGCGTTCGGGTGAGCGGGAACTTACGAATGCGCGTTTCTGCAGGAGAGGTGTGGCCATGGGTGAAAACTCAACATCCGGTCGGCTTGGTGGCTCCTCAGGCACGGGTTGTAGTGCTTCCAGATCCACAATGTGCAGAGGCTCAATGTCCGGTAGCGACCAGTGCGCGTTGAAGTTGTCGGACGACAGATACGAGACAAGCTCTTCGGCGTCTTCAGATACCCCAAGCGCATCGTCCTGGAGGTCGCCCACCGAGTTCTTCAGACGCATGGTGTATTGCAACAACAGACGCACACGCTGGAGCTCGGGCAAATTGGAGAAGCAAAGCTCGATGTGCTCGCTGGAATTGGACACGACCAGGCGAACGACGGGAAGCAGATGCCCGTGGCGAGCGAATGTGGTCCGCATGTGTTCCACCGAGGGGATCTTGGTGTTGAATGAGGAGTCTAGGGCGATGATTGTAGAAGGGGCTTTGTAGGTCTCCACAATGCCGTCATTGCGAGTTGACTGAACCCCAAAGCTCAGCGGGCCCTTGGCCAGAGACACTTCCACATTCGTGCCAGGACCCATCTCCTCGCGCGGGCGGGTATAAGCGAGGCCTTTGCCCAGCAGGAACCGCTCGACCACGTTCTGGGTCTTTTCGCCATTTACCATGATGACCAAGTGTAGGTCGCGATCACTTGTAGACCCCACGAGGTAGGAGAGAAGCAGGAACTTGGCACTTGAGTATTCCGCCCATGAAGCCTCTTGCCGCAGGTCCGCCTGCGAGTCGTTGAGATGTTTGGTGACGTTCAAGTCTGGATGGGTGGCGACATTGCTCAGACGCTCTAACACCTCTTTTATTTTGGGCAGTAGACGCACGCGCTGTGGGATGGTCAGTTTCTACAAGGCTCAGGTGGGGGCTGCTTCATAGTACCTGGTCTGCTTGTGTGCTAGTGCCATTGATGAATTCCTGGATTGAATCACTCTCGCTGGTAAGGACTCGCTCGTAATCATCCTTGACCCTCGAGTCCATGGGGAGCGAGATGGCAAACTCCGATGGACCAAGCAGAACAGATCCTGGAATCGACTCCTCGGTATGGTCGACTGACAATGCATGCGGCTGAATAGTCTGTACATCATGTTGTACATCGTGATGTACATCGTGGTGTACAGCGTGATGTACATCGGGGTGTATAGCGTGGTGTACAGCGTGATGTACATCGGGGTGTACAGCGTGGTGTATATCGTGGAGCTGAGTGGGATCCATGTGTGCAGATTCCAGGGGTGGCGAGGGGATGACAGGCGGGGGTCCCGCGGGAGAATGATGTTCAGGATGAAAGGCCGAGGGTTTGTCGATCCTCACGCTGAGTGGGGCGGCGGTTTCGGGCAAAGCGACGGGCGATGGTTCGATGTCGCCAGCCTCACCCACCGAAGATGGCGTGGCGCTTGGCTCCGGGGGTGCCGCACTCTGCGCTCGCAGCTGGGCATATGCATTCCGGAGCTTCTCCCTCGGAGTGCTTCCTTCGAATTGGCTGTATTTTTCCATCGTCTCCGCTAGAGACATACCTTTTTTGTCCTGACCATCCATCTTCACAGATGATCCCCGTGTGTTCGTCACGGAGGCGAATTCGCAGCTTGGCTTACTGGCAGACAAGACTCTCGTGGCTTGCGAAACACGCGCCGTGACTGACTCCGGTATAGAACCTACGCGACCAGCGCTAGTGCTACCTGTCTAACGGTTAGCCAGTATAGAATAGACTAGATTCATGAATATCACCTTGCGACAAATAATGAAGTGCTGAAAACTGCTGCGAGACCGGCGTACTTGCGCTTAGAGGGTTCTTGGCAGAGATTATTGAGTACTGCGAGCTTGCGCTATTAAACGTGGGAGCTGGACGCGTCGTTTGACTCTCGGAATTACTGAATGGGCCAAATGGCGTCTCCGGTATTTCATCCACGGCGCTCGCGTGGTTGCTTGCTACCCGATCTACCGGCCGCTGGGATCCAGAAGAGCCGACAGTGTTGCCTTGATAGAGTCCCTCGCGCGGGACAGAACTCACCACGCTAACGCTTTCCCACGTCTGACAGTTGGCGGCAGGGGTCACCGTTCGCAAATGTTCTACGGATCGAGCGTCTGGAGACTCGCTTGACAGGCGGAGTTCGGCGGGGACGGGTGTTGCGGGCACTTCTTGGAAGACCTGCAACTGGCGTTCGCGGAATGAAGGTCGCGGCGTGTTTTCGGGCTGCGCCGAACAGTGTGTGTTCAACTGGCTTGTTGGAGCCGAACCGTACGCCTCAGTAGTCTGCAACTCCGGTGTACCGTCGACGGGGACAAACAAAGGCGAACCCGAGTCGTTGTTGGTGTGCTCCGGAGAGGGTTCGGAGGCAACAGGGTCGGTAACCAGCTGCTCCGCGCTGTGCGTCTGTGAGCGGGAGGAAGACAAGTGCGCCAGTGGAGTATTACTCGGACGTGTGCCTTCACTCTGAGCGTAACTCTTCTGTGTCTTCGTCTTTTCCCAGGTCTCAACAGCAAGTCCGTTGGCGTGCTCCTTTGGTTCCTGGCGACACATTCGAGCAGTTAGAACAGGGCCTTATCACAGAGAGATCGTATGTATAAATTTACCCAAGTGGGCTCCCAAGGTCCTTCCCAATCAATCAGGTATTGAGACTCCGTCTCGTCGAGTATACAGTTGATATAGTATTCGTCGTCGTCCAGGGGATTGCTCTCGTGGTCCGAGTCGTCCGAGTCGTCGCTCGACACGATAGTATAGTTCTCCTTCCAGCGTGTCTTGCGTGATATGTTGGTGTGGTTGTTGTCTTGGTGAGGGGACAGTTTGCGCTTGCGCCACATTATGCGCGGACTAGAAGCATGGCCGAGGTGGGATAATCCATGGTGGTGTGACAGTGGAACAATAAAACGCTGGGTGGAAGAAAGGGAGTGCGGCGGAGATAGTCCGAGCGCTGTTAAGTCCGAAGAAGCGACCGTAGTTGCAATTAGGAGACTGCGCTCTGGGGGAGGAGTCTGTAAGGGGAGCTGTAGGCGGGCTTCGGGGAGGGTTGAGGAGCAGTGAAAGTGAATGAAAGTGGTGGTTGATGAGGAGGTCGACGGGAACAACGTGGGCGATCCCCGGCACGTGATGGTCCTTATCAGTCGGTCATCCGGAGCTTGGAGAGAAGGCCCCGGGGTTGCTACCGATTAAGGATCGGTTGATTGGGATCGATTATCTTTCTTGAAGCTGTGTCTTAGCTTGTGTCTTAGCTTCTGTTAGCCTCGAGATGGTTTCACAAGATTCTGCGCTCCCCCGTTGGAATTGACGGTTGACCAGACAGGGATGCCAGCGGAACGGCCGGTGATGCTCCTCGGGTATAGTCATTTAGGGCTGAGGACGAAGGGAAAGAGCAGAGTCAGCCTCTATAAGCCGGGATAAGCAGAGCATTACAATGTTGGAATCGCTCAGAAGGTTCTTCAATTATCTGTGTCGGTTCGTTCATAGCCTTTCTACTTGCCTCGGTAAAAGAGGGGTTCACACAGAGGAATTGAGGCAGGTCCATCTTCCCACCATGTCAGGTACAGCATCACATTCGTACTTAGCATATGCATCTGGGGCTGCTAGCCACTGATCTATCTGATTTGCGAAATCGAGAGCGCAAGTTTATCAATCGTCCTCACCTGAACCATAAACGTCTCTTATCAACCGTGTTGTATCAGCGACCCAAGAGACATAGAGCTGTTCAAAGTCGTATCACCAGCCTTACCGGGTTCTAGTATTGCTGGCTATCCTGTAATGTATCGGCTTGTTAATTATTCAAGCTTTGATGCCCCTAGTAATAAGACCCTAATTTACGCAATTTGCTCCTGTATGATACATGGTGAGGAGCTCCATGAGAAGGGGCAGTCCGGACTACTAGTTACCCCTAGCCCTAAGCTCATCGAGGCCGGCCAGAAGCAGAATAGGCAAACAATTACAAAAAGGTTGGAATGAATCGTGATTTTAAGGCTGATAGTCAGAATTGGTTCTCGCATAGGATTGGAATCACCCCGAACTGAGTAGGAGAGTAGCCTCAGTAGTCCTTGCAGACAGACAGCCCCTCTTGGGAGCCTTAGGCATGGACAGGCTAGACCACTTTAATCAGGCCGCCGAATAGATCCCCATCGAGATATGCGGAGAAATCGGATCTATCAAAGGGCGGGCGGGGGAGAAAAATAAAAAAAAAGAAGCCCGCAACAACAGCAACAACAAAACAGAGTTTCGAAGCGAATTTGTAACCCCCAACCATTGAAACTGTCTTCATAATCCTCTTCGAACATCTCTAGAATAATCTCTGTTAGTACATATCCCCAAGAAACCCCTATCACAAGCCATGCAACCCTAACCTACCCACAGCACCAAACCGCCCACTTTCAAGTACAGTCAGTACAGTCCACAACCAAATCCATCATGGACACCTTCCGCCAGATCCTACAGGCAGCCCGCCAATCCAACTACGGGCGGTACCTCGTCGAAGAAGACGCGGTCTTCGAGTCCGTCGCCGGCGCGGTCCAGCAGCACATGAGCCAGTACGACGCCTCCCACGACTTCCAGCACGTCCTGCGCGTCGTCGCCCTATCCTCGAAGATCCTGGCCGCCGAGTTCGAGGCCGAGTCCGAGCGCCACGAATGGTACCGGCCCGACCTCATTCTTCTGAGCGCGTAAGTCTTCTGCCTCCTTCTACGGGACTATCATCTCTTACGCATCCCCGAAGCCTGCTCCACGACGTCAACGACAAGAAATACGCCCCACCGCCGTCCGCCTCCGGGGAGGAGCAGGTGTCCAAAGTCGCCGTGGTGCTCCGGGAGGCAGGCATCGCGGAGGACGAGATCGAGCACGTCGAGCAGGTGGTCAACCATGTTTCGTACTCGACGGAAGTTAAAAACCCCGAGAAGGTGAGGGAGGTCCTGGAGGATTATCCGGATCTGGCGGTGGTGCAGGACGCGGATCGGTTGGATGCCCTCGGCGCGATTGGGGTGGGCAGGATGTTTACGTATGGGGGCGCGAGGGTTCCGGATGCGAGTATGCAGAGGTCGCGCGCTCATATTGATGAGAAGTTGGTGAAGTTGGGTGGGATGATGAAGGTATGTGATTGCTTTTTCTTTTTCTGGTTGGTGGAGAGGGGGCGATTGTTTGATGGCATGGGGAAGTGACGAGGCTGACTCGCTCTGTAGACGGACGTGGGGCTGAAGATGGCTAAAGAGCGGACTGAGAGACTGGTCACTTTCAGCAAGTGGTGGGATGAGGAGGCTGCCTTGTTTGAGCCGGAACTATAGGTTGCAAGGTTGATGATGGGTTGTGAGAGGTTCGGGGTAGGTTTACCAAGAACTGGAGAGATATCTCTTTCGTTACCCATTTTTCTTGAGGCCGGTCATTGTCATAGCAAGGTTTTGCGTAGAATCTGTATTCGTATTCCGCGTAGCAATGCTTATCTAAGTTTAATGAAGTTCTAAATAGTGGATATCTAGGCTTGATGAGTTTCAAAGACGAGATGCACCGGCCGGGCTCTCCTGCTCCTTTCTCCATCTATCGAAGTCGAATCCTAGCTGTGCGAGAGATTTGACCAACCCACGCTCGGCACCTTTCTGTCCGAACGTCCGTTTGATCTCCGCGATCTGCCCTCGAATCCACCTCTCTCTTTCGCCCCAGTGATTACACGGTTTGCCGTTGCCTTCATTGTCGAGTCCCGGCCGGGGCTCGGCTTCTGCCGCCCAGTCATGCAAGTAATTCATAAAGTCCGCATCCTGAGGAAAGGGAAGAAGGTGAAAGGGGGTCCCTTCGCCCTTTTCCCGAACAGTTGACTGTTCCCACTCTTTCATTGCATCCTGGGAGGGCAGACTCAGGCGCCCTGAGAACACCCGCGCAAAAACCGCCGCCTGATTCTCCGACAGTGGGAAGGGAACGATTCGCTGCGGAAGGGCGCTGAGCACCAAGGTGGGGTCGTGGATGTAGAAGAGATGCTGATATGTGTTCACCACCCGACGGCCGTTGGTGATGAGCGGCGGGTCCAGCGCCGATAAGAAAGGATATGTGTATAGATAACCGGTGCAGAAGACGATGGCGTCGATGTCCTCCTCAACGTGGCCGTCCTCGAAGCGAACGGCTCTGCGGTGGGAGTCAGGCGGGAGAAAATCCACGATCTGAGGACGAAACACCTTGCTGGTGTCCCCCGCGGAGGACGCAAGAAGCGACAGGTTTCGCTCGGACACGATGAGCTTGCCCTTGCTCACGGGGCTGATCTGGTTCCCGATATCCAGGCCCGACGCCGAGCTGCCCACCACAATGACCTTCTTGCCACGGAATTGCTCTGCAGAGTCATACAGCTTGGAATGCAGGATGACTCCGGGATATGCCTCGTTCCACTGCTTGATGCCCGCGATGTCGGGCGTGAACGGAAGATCGTAGTGCCCGCTAGCAACCACCACGGCATCGTACGAGTCCGTTCTTGTGTCTCCCGTGCGCAGGTTCTTCGTGGTGACCGACCAGCTCCCTGCGCCAAGGACGTCTTTGCGGACGTCCGAGACCTGGGTATCGAATTGGATCAAACTGCGAATCTCTTCTGCATAGTCATGCAGATAATCCTTCACGGTAGCATGCTTGGGCATTACTTGCGTCTTCGCGTCGAAGTGCTTGTCGCTGTACCGCATGATCTCCTTGGGGAGGTTCGTCTCCAATGCTTCGTAAATGGGGGAGACGAAAGTTGGCTCCTGCCGCCCCTCGGATGTGTGCCATATTGGCCCTTCCGGAGGCTGGTGGGGGTCGGTCTGGGGTACAGTGCTTGTGAGATTGTCCTTCAGAGGACCTGGTGTGTAGTTCCAGACGCCACCGGCCGTAGCCCTCTGCTCGAAGACATCGATTTTCTCGAAGTATTTCTCCGCAAGTAAGTACCTGGGCTGTTGATTAGCGGTCGAATCCGGAGTTTAGAGGGGGAAATACATACTTGACTGCGGCGAGACCAGAGGGGCCTGCGCCGATCACGGCTATTCGGCTGATCTGTCCTGATCGTGTCATTGTTCTGTAAAAGGCCACGATGAGAGGATATGTCGACGCGGACGATAAGGGGACTTATAGTCCGTAGTTCACGGCGGTTTCCAGTGGCCGATGACTACATTGTGGCGGGGAATTTCGTGCTCCGTCATCGGGAATGGGCTGATCAAGTAATTGTTCTGGATGTTCGACCCTATACTTCGACATGCAGAAAGGATATTCCTGAAGCTGACAGAGATCTTCAATCATGGGAACTTCTATCATGTTTTTCTTTTCCAAATCAATCCTGCTCCATCACATGTGGGAGAGCCTGGAACAATGTGCCATGGGGTTGACCAACCATTACCGACTCCACTCTGCGGTGGGCTGCGGCAACAACAAAGAAAAGTCTGTAATATTACAGCTCCAATACGCCAGGTTTTGTGACGCAACAACCTCTCTCCTTCTCCTCCTTCCTCCTCCGCATCCTTTCGATTTCCCGCGCGTGCTGCCATCCAAACAAGAACCTATTTTTTTTTTTGCCCTGTGCTCCAGCTCTTGTCGACCATTGCACAACCCCTCCACCTGAGTGGCTATTCTTAACTCAGACAGCCAGTACCTATGACTCAGGCAATGTGGAATGCGCATGACCACTAAGCGGCCACAGCGATGGACGCCCACGATAAACAACAAGCTCCGGTTTCCGAACTCCTTCAATCGACCCCGGTCCCCATTGCGCAGCTCGCCCCGTCGCTCGACAATCTACCCAGCAACTCCGTGCGCGGTGTAGTGGCTCTGCTATGGCCGTATTCGTCGTCCACGCGGTCGATCAGTTTGCTTCTGGCGGAGCCCGACTTCCGGCTCCGGCGGTCTGGCGGGCAAGTGAGGGTCGTCTTCCACGGACACGTCGCGGAAGAGGTCGCCAAGTCGCAGGTTGGGATCGGCGACAATGTGTATCTCAGTCTGAACGGATCCAGGCTGACCGACAATGACCCGAAAGTTCTCACCCCGGGCAAGAGCGTCGCCTGGGATGTGCATTTCGAGACCACGGTTCTGGTCGAGGTGAGTGAACCCACAGAGAGCCCGGAGGATGGTGGTGGCTCATTGCGTTCTAGGTATGGCGCTCCGATCAACACCTTTCCACCGTCAAGATCGATCCCCCCTCGTCTCCTCTGCCCGCCGCCGAGAGTACCACGCCCACACCGACTACCCCCGATCCGAGAGGCAGTGCCTTCCCCCGCGGCCTTGACTCGGCGACCTGGCAATCGCCCGCGTTCCTGGAACACTCGAGAACGTCTATCGGAAGCCATATAGCTGGCTCGGCTTTGCATCCGGCCTTTGATCCCTTCGCGGAGGATGATGGATTCGTTCCGGGGAAGGGGAGGAAACGGACGCGGTTCAGTATACGCAATGACTGGCGGCTGGTGGACGAACCAGCCAGTCCTGAGGATCTGGAAATACCGGGGGTCTGGACGGCTATGTTCGACGACGAGGCTTGGCTCAACGAAGCGGCGGCGGAGTTGGAAGAGGCCGCTGAGGAAGCGGATGGCTCTCCGGAAGTTCCTACGGCACCCGTGTCGCCTCAGACCGGCGGGACCGATCAGCTGCCTTCCGTCCCTACGGTCCAAGAAGAACCTACAAGTGCAGTCTCAGATGTAGACCGAATGTCGGAGACGCCCGAGGCTCGTGAGGATAATACCCCGGAAAAGGCCCAACCGAAGCCAGATGTGCAATTTCTTCTTCCGGATCTTTCTCAGCGGCTTGAGTTTTCGCGTCATATGCATAGGACTATTTCAAGTCTTTCTGGCCACCTTCCCACAGACACTCCGCGGCTGAATCCGATTCCTTCTCCGGGTCTGCCAATTCCCTCTCCACTGATTAGCTCATCAAATAGCCCGCTGGGGTACTTTGGTTCGGTTGCAATCACGTCCGAGCCAGCTACGTCTGATCCATTCCAGCTAGCTGCACCGCAGTCAGACTTAGCCCGAGAATCTTCGTACGCAGAAAGCGAGGCTGGGTTTGGTGCAGCGATCGCGATCGAGTCTATTGAGCATCAAGCCCAAGGGCCGTTAACAGGGGGTGCCACAGGTACTCCCAGCAATGAAGCTTCTGAGCCAGCCCGTGTCTCTGAGCTGCCCAAGGAAGACTCGGGGCTTTCAATCGCGGAGGAAGCGGGGAGCGTGGAAGAGAATGTATCAACACCTGCCCTGGCTGCTGAAGCTCCTTCGCCAGAGAGAGATGCGGACTTGGAAATGGTGGATGCAGACTCATTGCCAACTGAATGGACCGTGACGGAAATCGAACATGAGACCTTCCATGGCGAAACAGACGACCAGGAGGAAGAACTCCATCATACCCCTCAAGATGAAGAGGAATACTCTGAAGCCGAGAACGCGAGTGGGGAGGAATCGGCGATCGAGGAGCATGAAGACGAGCTTGCCAGCCCAGGCTCCGAGCCTCAATCGGTGGACTTGGCCGACGAAAATGAACCGGACGTGGCGGACGACGCAGAACCCATCGCCGATCCAAGGACCGATGGTGATATGGCATCGGACGACGAAGCAGAATCAGATGTGGAAGATCATGGTGTCGAAGGGCCCGCAGGCCAGTATGGTTTCGACGAGGAATCCGAACACTTTGAGGAAGACGTGTCCGATGAAGGGGATTTGGATGAAGTCGACGAGGATGAGGATGAACTGGACGAAGAGGATATGTACGATGACGACGAAGACGGCGGAGAAGCATATGATGACCGTGTTGAGTCGGAGTCGGATCCAGAGGATGTCAGGCACGAGGCGCCCCCACCGAAAAGGAATTCCCCGGAGATCATTGTTTTGGACAGTGACAGCGAAGATGAACCTGCGCCTGTACAGCCGAGCCCCGGGGCTTATTCAAGGCCGAGAGATGCAAGTGTTTCAAGTGCCGAACGATCAGGACAAGTTGGTGATGAGGCTTCGGACTCTGAAGTCGTTGACGAAGAGGAAGAAGAGATTTACGATGAGGAAGATATGGAAGACGAAGAAGGTATGCACGACGAGGAAGATATGCACGACGAGGAAGATATGCACGACGAGGATGAAGAGACAAATGTCCTCTATACTTTCGACGCTGAGCTCGAAGATGCTGAAGGGGATGTTGTATCCGAGGTTGAGGAACGGTCGATTCAAGACCAAAGGCATGCACAAGAACAAGAGCCAGAAAGAGGTCTGGAAGATCGAGAAAGCCACAACCGTTCTGTGCATGAGGACATGGGAAATGTACATTCAGAAGCAGAATATGCAAATGATAGGGGAACGATGAAGGGATTGCCGGACGATGAACACGAGCAATCGAGAGGGGAAGGCTTCGTCGAGGAAAACTTGCAGCGAAAACAGTCTGGGGCCGAAGAGTCTGAGGATGCGCAGGCACAAGCCAAAGAGGTTGATTCTGTGCAGTTTCAGGAAGCATATCTTCAGGAGCGCGTCGCAGAGGAAGCAGATCAGGCCGAGCATATGCAAGAATTGGCCCACGAACCAGGGTTTGTGCCTGTGCCAGAGGATTATGTGAACCCAGTTCGGAACCCAGAAAGTCCCGCTGGCATCCAAGAAATTCGAACGACGACACTAATCCACGGTCCTGGCTATGAAAGTCTCGAGTTCTTCTCGTCGAGTGGACCGGATTTTGAACATGTCGACCACAGCGCTGGCCCTCTCACGCATTCGGCTGATCTCCCAATCGACCCTGCACTCCTCGAGTCGGCTACGTTCTCAGCAGCGATTCCTTTACCCGATTCGCAACACAGCCTGGTTGATACAATGATCCAACCCGAGGATGATGAAACAGCCTTGGCAGATCAGCAGCCAGTGAATGCAGGCCTGTCGCTTGATGGTGCCTCGGAGAGCTTGCCTATATCCGCTGATTTGAGTCGCCAAAGTCCAAGCCTCCAACTTGACCACCAATTAATCACCCCGGAACCTTCACAGCTGGTCGGCGTGGGGAAGCTTCCGTCAGTAACTACCACTGCAAACGAAATACCGCCGACTCCTGAGCCCACACAGGTAGATGCAGATATGCAGGATGTCGAAAGCGAGGAATTCGTCTCGGTAGACGAAGGCTCAGAGACCGAGAGCTATGCCTCTGCACCGTCGCAGAAGGAATTCCACCGGGACGAAAGCGTCCACGTGGGTAAGGAGACTGACGTCCATGCCACGCACAGCGAGGACGAGATGATGCTGGTTGGGGGCGACGTGTCTCGCATCGTCGCCCTGAATCGCAACTACCCGGGCCTGCGCAGCAAACTGTCCTACTTCGCGCCGCTGGCCACCCTCGTCGACCATTTCCGAGGGCTCATCGATACGATCTCCACGGTCGCCGAGGTGCGACCCGTGATCCGGGCAGCGTCCGGCAAGAAAGACTACATCCTGACGCTGGGGCTGACCGACCCTTCCTTGGCGGGTACCATGCTCTTCGCGCAGATCTTCCGGCCCAACAAGACGGCCCTGCCGTCCGTGACGGAGGGCGACGCGATCCTTCTGCGAGACTTCCAGGTCAAGAGCTTCAACCATGCCATGATGCTGGCCAGCGTGGAGACGAGCGCCTGGGCCGTGTTCACCGCGGCCGACGCCGACGCGCAGGTCTCCGGCCCGCCGGTCGAATACGGCCCCGAGGAGGCGACCTACGCCACGGACCTGCGCCAGTGGTACCAGGAGAACGGGATGGCGATGGTCGCCGACCACCAGCTGCAGGCGTCGATCGAACGCGAGAGCCGCGAGGCCACGCCGCACAGCGTCACCGGGCTGAGCGATGCGGGGAGCGTGAATTCGACGGGTGGCGGCGGCGGCGGTGAGATGCGCGAAGCCTCGTCGACCTCGAACCGGGGGGCCGGGGGCTCTCGGCGGCGCAAATCGCACCGTCGCATCACGATCCATGAGCTGCGGGATGGCAGGCGGTACGCCGAGGTGGGCTCGCCGACTGACCGTGATAGTATCCACGAACTCCGCGATGGTACTGTGTACGCCAATCCTTGAAGTTACACTTTTGACTAAAGCGTTCTATAGGGCCAGAGTGAGGATGTCTCAGTCGGGAAGCTATATCGATGGCTTCTCATGGGATGAACAGATGTTATAGACAACAGCAATAACACTCGAGAATTGTGTTGATTGTGATGTACTTGTATATAAACGTGAACACAACATTTCGCTTCCCAAGAAAACAAAAACCCCCACACGAAGCACAGCAACTGTCTAGGCCCTGTCTAATCTATTCTAAATCTTCGAGTTCTTCTCCCCGCCAAGGAGATCTATACTGATCGCCGCCCTAATGAGTTGGTTGGCAATCGCCGTGGGCGGCGGCAACCGCAACGCGCCCTCCTTATACTCGGGGCCCGGCCCATCGCCGAGCGCACTGACCCCATTCCGCAGCGCCTCCTCCACCTCCGCAATGTCGAACCACCTGGCATCCTCCAGCTCCGGGTCATGCTCGAGGTTGATCTTCTCGTGCGCGGCGTCGCTGACCTGGGCGATGGCGCCGATCATCAGGTTGGCCGGGTACGGCCAGGGCTGGGAGGAGTGGATGACGACGCGCGACAGCGTGACGCCGGCCTCCTCCCAGACCTCGCGGCGCACCGCGTCCTCGACCGACTCCGCGGGCTCGATGAACCCGGCCAGCGTCGAGTACCAATTGGGCGGGAACCGCTTCGACCGGCCCAGGAGGATCCGCTGCGCGTCCGCCGATATCACCGCCACGATGATCGTCGGGTCCGTCCGCGGGAAGCTCAGGTTCGAGATCGTCGTCCGCGTGCTGCACGCCGGCCGCTCCGCCGGCAGGCCCGCCGCTGTCCGCGCCGCGTCCGTCGCCGGGCACGCCCGCTTGGTCCCCGAGTGCACCGCGATCGTCCGCTCGCCGCACGTCCCGCAGAAGGTGTTGCGCGTGTTCCAGTCGATTAGGGCACGGGCTTGCGCGTAGATCGCCGCTATATCCGGACACAGTCAGTACACATCAGCCTTACATCCTTCCTTCCATCCTTCCATCCATCCATCCAGCAACACAGACTTTGGGACAAGGTAAGGGAAAAGGGGACCTACCCTGATCCGCCGCAAAACTCATAACCACGCGCGCCTGCAGAAAGCTCAACCCCTTCGCCTCCAACGCCTCCACCACCTTTCTATATTGCTGCTGCTGCACCTCCTCCCCGCCACGCGGCCCGCTCACATCCAGCGCGAAATACGGCGTCCCGGCGTAGATCTTCCACGCGAATGCTGCCGCCCCCTCACTTTTGGGGGAGGTTTCGTCCAATCCCAAGAAAATCGGTGTCGCGAGGATCGGCTTGCGCGAGTCGTACGCGGCTAGAATCTCTTCCTCGGATTGGTCGTAGATGGTGGCTGGCACGAGGGGCTGGATCTCGTCATACCGGGCGTAGTAGGGCTCGGCGGGGGAGGCGGTCTGGGTGAGCGGGGCGAGGTCCTTGAGGAGGACGAAGCGAGTGGAGGGGTGGTTGAGGGCGGCGGAGAGGAAGGGATGGTTGGAGCGGAGGAAGGAGAGGCGGTTTAGGGGGGAGCCTTTTTGTCGTTAGTCCTGGGTTAGGTTTGGTTTGAGGGTCTTGGGCAAGGGACGTACTGGAGAAGTAGTTGGCGGTTTCCCGGCCGAATTGGCGGGCCAGCATGGTTTCGGCTTGGATGTGCGCGGGGTTGGGGATTAGGGAGTCGGTGTTGATCATTGTGGGTGGTTGTGGTTCTTAAGTGAAGTGATGTGATGTGATGGAGGAAGGGGGGAATGCAGGACTCGATGCCTGGTTAGGAGAGATGAAGGGTAATTGAGGACAGGGCACGAGACAAGAGGTAAAGAAACTGCGAAACCCGGAGACATGGGCATTTGTACTTCCTCTTCTCTTCTCTCGTCTTCTCCGATAACGATGGATTAATCAGCTGGTTTCGTGCCGAGGATCTGCGCCACTGGTAATTCCGTTACAGTATTTACACTGAGATAGAAGTCAACTGTAGCTGTGGGACTGTAATACCGGTACACTGAGGGGCAATCGGGGAGCACCCCACACACGTGACCGTGCATCGCGACGACTTGCCGGGGCCAGTGGCATTTCTCCAACTCTTATCAATCACACCCCCAAGACCTGTCAATCCTCACCTCCCAATCGGTCGGTTGCCACTGTTTAATTCCAACAATGGGCCACCTGGTCACTCTCGCAACATGGTACGTGGGTCCTCGCGTTGTTGGGTTGCGCGTGCAACCGCTCTAACCATCCCACCTGCAGCTCGCTCAACCAATGGGCTCTCGACTTCGAGGGCAATGCTGAGCGCATCATCGAAAGTATCCGCAAGGCCAAGGCAGCCGGAGCCACCCTGCGCGTCGGTCCGGAGCTGGAGATTACCGGTACTCTCCACAGCTTCAATGTTTGCGGCTCCAGCTCGCTGACACGGGACTAGGCTATGGCTGCTTGGACGCGTTCATCGAGGGCGACACGTTCCTGCATTCGTGGGAGATGCTGGCGCGCATCATCGACCATCCTGACTGCCAGGATATCGTGGTGGATGTTGGGTGAGTTGCGCGAGCCAGACAGCTTGGTCTGCGACGGCAGCTGACAGGATGGTAGAATGCCCGTTCGTCATCGGAACGTGCGGTACAATTGCCGGTGAGCTTTTTGTTGCAAGGGCAAACGAAGGTAGTCTGACAGGACTAGGGTGATCTTCTTCAACCGCAAGATTATCTTGATCCGGCCGAAGATGTGGCTTGCCAATGGTGGGGCCCTCCAGGCAGATGCTGTGTGCTGAGCCGTTCGCTGGTCGCTGACGATTTCATGCAGATGGCAACTATCGGGAGATGAGACATTTCACCCCCTGGCAGCGCCCCCAGGAGATCGAGGATTACTACCTGGAGCAGATCGTGGGCAAGATCACTGGCCAGTACAAGGTGCCCTTCGGTGATGCAGTCATCAGCACCAGGGATACGTGCCTGGGCTTGGAGACTTGCGAGGAGCTGTTCACTCCCAATGGGTAAACCGGTTTTCCGCCCGTTCGACTTCGAAGGCCGTGCTGATGGTTGGATGTAGCCCCCATATTCCTTACGGTCTCGCCGGCGTGGAGATCATCTCGAACTCGTCGGGCAGTCACCACGAACTCAGGAAGCTCGATACCCGCGTCAACCTTATCACGCAGGCGACTAAATTGGTGAGAATATCCCCAAATTTGGGGTGGTTGAGATGCTGATCGGTCTGCAGAGTGGAGGCATTTATCTGTACGCTAACCAGCAGGGCTGCGACGGTGATCGTCTGTACTATGACGGGTGTGCGATGATCGTCGTCAACGGCAACATCGTGGCCCAGGGCTCGCAATTCTCGCTCAACGACGTCGAGGTTGTCACTGCCACCGTGGACATTGAAGAGGTATTTGTTCTGCTCCTCAAGCGGAGGCGTCGGCTGACTCGGACAGGTCCGCTCATACCGCTCCAGCGCGAGCCGCAGCATGCAGGCCAGCAGGCAAACCCCCTTCGTCCGTCTCGATCTGGACTTCAGGTTGTCGCGTACCGGCGAGGAGGCTGATCCTGGTCTTGCCCCATCTGAGGTTCTTCAGCCACGTTACCATGCCCCAGAGGAGGAGATCGCCCTCGGTCCGGCCTGCTGGCTGTGGGACTACCTTCGCCGCAGCGGAGCAGCGGGATACTTCGTTCCTCTGAGCGGAGGCATCGACAGCTGTGCGACGGCCATCATTGTGCACTCCATGTGCAGGGAGGTCGTCAAAGCGGTGCAGCAGGGGAATGAGCAGGTGATCAAGGATGTCCGTCGGCTCTGCGCGGAGCCGGAGGGATCAGCCTGGCTTCCGTCCACCAGCCAGGAGATCTGCAAGTAAGCACCACCTTATCAACTCGCTGATGACACAAAACTAAACCCATCCAGCCGCATCTTCCACACCAACTACATGGGCACGCAGAACTCCAGCAAGGAGACCCGGGAGCGGGCCAAGACCCTGGCCGCGGAGATCGGCTCCTACCACATCGACTTCAACTTCGACACGGTCGTCACCGCCGTCACGAACCTGTTCACGGTGGTGACCAACTTCCAGCCGAAGTTCAAGGTGCACGGCGGCAGCTTCGCGGAGAACCAGGCGCTGCAGAACATACAGGCCCGCTTGCGAATGGTGCTCTCCTATCTGTTCGCGCAGATGCTTCCGACGGTGCGCCAGCGGCCGGGTGGTGGAGGGCTGCTTGTGCTGGGCTCGTCCAACGTCGATGGTATTTTCTACCCAAACCCCGCGTGACTAAGATCGGTGCTAACAATCTCGCAGAATGGTGTGTAGAGCATTTCCCCACCGTTTACCTTGGCCGTACACTAACCCATCCAAAGTCTCCGCGGCTACCTAACCAAATACGACGCCAGCAGCGCCGACGTACGTCCCCCCCCCCCTTTCTTTCCGGTCTTCACCAAGACTAACCCCGCCAGCTCAACCCCATCGGCTCAATCAGCAAAGTCGACCTCAAGAAGTTCATCCACTGGGCCCAAACCGCCTTCGCCCTCCCGATCCTGCACGAGTTCCTGCACGCCACGCCCACCGCCGAGCTCGAGCCCATCACGCAGACCTACGTGCAGTCCGACGAGGCCGACATGGGCGTCACCTACGCCGAGCTGTCGGTGTTCGGGCAGCTGCGCAAGGTCGCCAAGCTGGGGCCATGGTCGATGTACGAGCGCCTCCTCCACAAATGGGGCCACGAGCTCAGCCCCCGCGAGGTGTACGAGAAGACGCGCCACTTTTTCTACAACTACAGCATCAACCGCCATAAGATGACCGTGCTGACCCCCAGCTACCATGCCGAGGGGTACTCGCCGGACGATAATCGGCATGATCTGCGCCAGTTTCTTTGTACGTTTCTTTCTTTCCCTTGCGGTGCTTCCTGGGGGTTCCTGGCGGATGAGCGATTGGGTTATAGCTAACGATGCGGGACACAGACCCCCCGTTCACCTGGGCGTATAAGAAAATGGAGGAGAGCGTCGCCTACTGGGAGGAGAAGGGGTGGACGGCGGGCAAGGCGCAGAAGAAGAGCGTGAAGGCGGATTGAGGCTGCTTGTTGTTGCCCAGCGGAGGGAGGAGGTCAAGCCGGTACTCATTGACAGCTTAGCTTCGCGTCACGTTCGGTGTAGGTGTAGGTGTAAATGCAGAAGTGGGTAGATGTGAGGTCCAACGCTCTACGGTGGTTTAGCTATGCTTAGCATGACGATATTCTGTCAGGGCAGGGCAGGGCAGGGCATAGACCTAAAGAGCACTATACTATGCGCGGTAATGCTATGTCATGAGACGTTTATGGGGTTTGTTCAGTTCTTGATCTCATTTTCATGTTCTTATCTAGCTCCCTGCTGTGGGAATGCTTGAGTCCGTCGTACTGGCACAATCCCTTAATTTCAAAGGTATGCATGCAGAAGCAGCATTAGGATCGCTTTCGTGGGTAGGTATACAATGTATACTGACACTGCTCCACGGATACTGGAGAAATGCTATATTATACTTTACCCCAGATGGACCTCATACCTCGATATAGTTCCATACCTCAATGGACTGCCACACCTCAAATCAATTTGTGACTGATAATTCACATTTCAGACACGCATACTGCATATGCCTCCACACACCCAATTTAGACAAAAGAAACCATATGCAATGTAGAGTTATGATAATACAGGACGAGAAACGCTAATCAACATCACCAAACAAACAAGAACACAAATGGGAATAATGCATTTAGACAAGGAAAGAAACCCGGGCAGGCAGGCACAAGAGAGAGTGTCAACGACGGATTCTGGAAGCAGAACGAACCACCAAGCTAGCCCTTCCAGAACCAACCGCCCTTGCTCTGGTCGGCGCCACCATCCCCATCTGACTGTGGTGGCTGCTCGCCCTGCCGCGGATTCACGACGTCAACCGACTCATTCGTCTCCTCGCGACCATCGGAGAACCGCTTTTTGCGAATCGTCTTGGTCTGAATAGCGCCGTCGGGGAGGCGGACGCGCTCGGTGCGGGTCTGCGTGGCGATCACGTATGGTTTGTGTGCAGTTTCACTCTCACTTTCCTTAGGGGTAGTTTGGTCAGCCTGCTGCTGCTGCTGCTGACCAAAAAACCCCTCGCGCGGCGCCAACTCCCTGAAGCGGCGGCGGTCGTCCAGCAACAAGCGCAGCAGGGGGCTCTCGTGGATCTCGCGGGCAAACGCCTGCTCGCGGGCCTGGAGATCATCCAGGAACCGGTCGTACAGATCCTGCTCCGTGAGCGCGTCGGCCCCGCCAGCCGGCTGGGCAAGGTCCTCCGTGTCGATGACCTCTGCCTTCTTCGTCGGGATGTTATCGTCTTGCAAGAGTTGCGAGTTGTCGAAGGTGATCGTCGACCACGACGGCTGACCACCGCCAGAACCACCGGAAACGTACTTCCACCGGTCGCCGAGACTACCCCGCTTCACGAGACCCTGCAGCCAATCCGTTCCGGATTCACGGGTCGCTCTCTTTGTGCTAGTGATGTCCTCCCGCTCGAGCATGGGCTTCCCGTTCTCCAGCCGCAGAAGATCCTCGAATGCCTCGCGCCACCGCGGCTCCGGCTCCAACTCCGGCTCCGCAGCTGCATCATCACCCTCGGAGAGACTCAGCGACGACATCAGCGACGAAAACACCCCCGGGCTGTTATCACCGCGGTCGCGCCGCCGCTCGAGATGCAGCGGCGAGTACGGGCTGAACATCAGGTAGGGCACGGGCCAGGCGGGCGAGGCGTCGCTCATGAGGTTGTGCAGCATGGGCCGGTGTGGGAAGGGCTGGAAGAGGAGTCGCCGCGATGGCCCCAAATCGTCGTCGTCATTGTCCGCGTCCAGCCAGAATCGGTCGAAGAAGGAGTTGAAGAAGAAGTCGGCGTCGCTGCGGTAGTTGCGCGGGTAGAAGTGGTGGTGGTGCGCCGCGACGGTCGCGGGATGGTCCCAGTCGCTGTCTTCCTGGCTGCTGGTGCTATGAGGGTTGTCGCGCGGGCGGTCGTCGAAGATGGCCCAGCGATCCGAGGAAGGGTTGATGGACGAGGGAAGACCGGTTACGGACTGCAGCACGGAGGAGATCTGTTCGTCGGCGAAGCGCCGGATCGCGACGAAGGGATTGTCATCTTCGGGCCAGCCGTGGTAGTGATGGTGATGGTGGTGGTGTTGGTTGTGGTTGTGGTTGTGGTTGTGGTGGGTGGGATAGGTGTCTTGGTTGTTGTTTTGGGTGTCGTCCCCAGCCATGGTGTGTGTGCTTTTTGAGACAGAAGCAAAAGGATGAGCAAAGATTGACGGGTTGATGTGACAGGTAAATTGAAAGCACGGCTTTCTTCGGAGGAAGAAACGAGGCACAGCGAGGGGATGGCAAGTAGATAAAAAAGCGGGCTCGAGGCATTTGTTGGGGCGATCGCCCCACTCCTTCCTTCCACCGCCCGCCACTGCCGCCTGAGGCTGCCACTCCATACCATACAGTACAGCATGGTACAGTACACAACATCACCATTACATTACCTATACTTCAAGAGTAGACGAATAGCACAGGGAAGTCAGCACACTTATCCACCTCACCCCACCCATTGTTGTATACTCATGTTGATATGTTCATGCAGATGATACATTGCTAGCTTGCTTACTCTGGCATGTTTACCCAGAGTAAGACTTCCCGGGGGAGAACCCCCGGACCCCCTTCCTTTCAGCTTCCTGGTAACCCTCAATCCTAAGTAACCATCACTCCAACCCATACAACTCATAAATCATAACTCACCACCCATTCCCCGCCTTCAAACTCCCCGACAACCCAAGCTCTGGATTATGCCTCTTCAACCCCCTGGCAAACAGCACCCGCGTGAGACCCTGAGCCCAGCTTTGACTTGTTCAATATTGAGCGCGAGAGGCTTCCGGAGTTGCTACAACTGAAGTCGAACTTTCTCTGGAGCACACGCAATAAGTTACTCCTTGACTTCCCTGGAGGTCCCTTGGTTTGCCAATGCCCTGATAAAGACAGTGCTGCCCTTAGTCAGGCAGGGAGACAGGAACTTCAGTTGCAGCAAAACACTCCAGTAATGTGAACTACCTACACTTTCGAGTTCCCATTATGGATAGTCCGCGGGAAGGCTCTGTATGACTAGATCTATGAGTTTCACCCCGACTCATGAAATACGTATTACCTTTCTTACATCGAATGTAGTCTCTGCAGTCGCTGGATTGCTCCAAGGCAACACATATCCCCGTTGGTTGCTGACCACCTTGACCGAGCCCGCCTTGAACTCGGTGCTGTGATGCGTGTGCCCAAACACCCAGGCCTGGACGCCCTCGGAAGTCTGAGATAGGATCTCCGTGCCGAACGCAAATCTCCAAGGGTTCTGCGCGTGTTGCGGGGCGGATGTTCTTTCGAGTGAGGGTGCGTGGTGGGTCACCACGAGAATCGACCGCCTGGGACGACTAGTAGAGGGAGGACTCCGCTTTCCTGCCCGTGTCATCGTCTCATCTTGATGATTCTCCTGACGGATCGACTGGATCTCTTCCTGTAACCACGCGAGATCAGCGTCGTGCATCGCGTTGTGGGCATCCACGGTCCAACCCGTGATTTTGCGGAAGTCTTGAATCTTCGCCTGGACAATCTCCCGCGATTCATCGGGCACTTTGGACCAGAGCGTGCAGCCCAGTACGCTGACATTGGATCCCGGGACATCGTATCGTGTCTGGTTGAGAACGATCAGCCGTCCGTTCAGGGAGGGCTCCTGCTCCAGCTGCCTGGCCTTTTCCAGCCCCGCGGCGTAAGGCCCGGTGTAGAATTCATGATTGCCGAGGATCAACAGAACTACCTTGAAGCGGTCTGTTTGTCTTTGCAAGAAATCGCGATAATGCTCGTAGTCAGCCAGACGGCCGATGTCGCCCGCGAGGATCAAGTGTTCAGCGCAAGCAGGAATCTCATAAGAGAGATACTGCTGGTTGATTTCAAGGTGGAGATCGGAGAGAACTTGAAAGGAGCAAGAGGGAGAAGAACGCTTGGAGAAAAAGGACCGTACTTTCTGAAACATGGCAGTCTCAGAGCGAGATGGATCAATTCAAGTACGTAGAGCCGTCTCTAGTCCGTCAACTTGGAAAAGGCCAATGTATTGTGGTGAAGCTGACAGAGCTGTTGACGCAAGGGGGAAGGGGAAGGGGAGTAAACCAATTGGAGCCAAACACACGTGATCAGTCGCCAAGTCTACACTACAGGCGCCGCGGTACTTAAAAGCCTCCCTACCAATTCCCAACATTGCCGGTACCATATACATAAGATCCAGGGGAAAAATGGAGAAAGTCACTCGAACCATCAAAAATGTCTTAACCCACCTTCAAGATGAGAATATACCAGCGGCTGTTATTGGAGAGATCGCTTTGAATTACTACAACGTTCCCCGAGTAGTCCATGTAAGTGTTGACCTCAACTTATATCCAGCTCCAGGTTAAGCGCTCAGGGGGGCTGGCTGACTGTAAAAAGGATATTGAAATCTGCGTTCCAGGATCTCTCCTGTCCGACGCCGTATCAACACTCTGCTTGACCAAGCAGTACACCGTCAAGGAGAAGCAAGAATACGACATTTTCACGGAATACAAAAGAGGGTTTCCGGTTCTCGAAGCGACATATAGCAAGATGACCATCGTGATCTTCTCCGATGCGCATTTTCACCTCTCTCCGCTAGAACACAACCTCGTACCTTGCGATGGGGGACCACTGACCAGCTACAGTCGTGAGATCCTGGATGTAGTTCCCGTGGACGAGATGCAGCATTTTCCGGTGCCATGTCTTCGCCCCTATGTGATCGGACTTTGCCGAAGATACTTTGAGAATCATGACGCTATGGCGAGAATTGCCGCGGAGCAACTGGTGGATGGAATGAATCTGGATGAGGAGTGGATCCGCACCAATCTGAGGGAAGCCCCTCTCAAGGCGAGGGAATTAATGATCATGCTGATGGCTGAAAAGTCATCGAGGATGGATAATGAATTTCTAGACGTCATCACGCCCGACCCTGTAGTAGAGAACGGGCTGGAAGGACTGCGACTGATTCCTGGTTCTGGATATTAGTACGGCTTGTCCATCTCAAGCTCACGCCTAATCACGCCTTTCGATAGTGCTTAGTGCTTCTCCCCTATTTGTACGTTACCATCGCGGAACGGCTACTCCTTGGCGTCTACACCTACTGGAGGAGTGATTCGGCGCTAATTGATAGAGCAGGGATTATAACTGTCCATCCGTGATATCTATTTTGCTTCCGCAGCAGACGGCGTCTACCAGGCCAATGACATTCGGCGGCATTGCATTAAAATAAAATGGGCGAGGCTTGACCCGTGACCTGACCTGATCTGACATGGACGAGGTCTATTTGAGAATGTCCATAAATGCCTACACCCCTACCGGCTTCTACGACAATTCCCCCGAAGCGTGAGATACAATCCTCGTTCACACACATCCAAGCTCGACTCTAGCCATCTAACAGCATGCTCCAAGACCGACTCAACGATGCAGCCATTGCCCTCCATCGAATCCTGAGCCGGACCAACATCCACTTTGGCATTTTTGGAGGCTACGCTATCGGCGTGCTAGGAGGATTGCGGGAGAGTAAGGACATTGACTGTATTGCGTCGATCTCAAAGCAACAAATCCTAGCGATCCTGGACGGACACGACGGGTTCGTCGCAATCCCTCAGGGTCGACAAGACTACGTGGCGTTCCTGTGGTCCGGTAGACCCGATCGCAGCCACGCCGTTCTCGTGGAGATTTTCTGCGAGCAGTTCACAGGTTGGTGAAGAAGATCTCCGCCCCTTTCCCTCTGGTTCCCTCACCCAAGTGCCCCCAGTTCTGATACCAGTCACACAAACTCCCCCCAGGTGCCCAATACACAATGCAAGGCGTCCAGGCCTCTCTTCGCACGGTGAACGGCCAGCGACTGGGGGCCGGGCAAGCCAGCTTCCTCGATCCGTTCTACCTGTTCAAAGGGAAACTCCGGGCCGCCGCGACTCGGTCCAAGTTCCACGACTCGGCGGATCTGCGATGGCTGGCCGACCGATTCGGCAACCTCATCCAGACCCGGCACGGGGAGCTGAACCTCCAATATATTGGCCTGGCCCTGAAGCGGTACCCCGAACTCGAGCTGCGGTTCGGACGGATCGGGGTGGATCTTGCCCGAGCAAAGGAAGCGGCGCGTGATCTGGACCCCTCCAGACTGCCGGCGCCTGCGCCGGGGGATGTGCAGCGGGGATTGCTGGGTTAGACCCTTCCCCAGATAGCGGTGCTTATGGTCGTGCTGCCTGCCGCTGTTGCTGCTGCCGAAATGAAAGGCCCACGAGGAATAGTTACAAGTAACCGCCGCCTCTTCCTGTTCTGTCGCACGTGAGGTCAGATCTGTAAGTATATTATCACCAACCGTGGCTCTTTGCCTGTGTTGACAGGCCTTTCTTAGCCCGCTCGCTATACAGCTTCAGTTCTCAAACTTCCGTATATGCAGTGAAGAAGGGAAGATATCTTAACGTGATTTCAAGTATATCGGAAATATCGGACCTCAACCTCGAGATAGCGATGATCGATGACCACAGTACAATACAATACAAAAAACCCACCAATAGCTTACAATACAATACAGTCCACAACCGCCCACCCACCACGTGATCCTCGCCCGATGGGGCTGCAGTGCAGCGCAGGCTGCAAAAAGCAATTCCAGAATTCTCGACCCTTCGCCTCCGTTCTATACCGTCAGGCTCAGCCTCTCTCTTTTCGTTTCATTCATGAAACCTCTACTATTCATTCATCATGCTAACGCTCATGGCTAATCATAGCTCGCTATAACCCCAATACTTGCCTCCCCAACCAGCATGGATTTACTTCCAGAAACCCAAACTCCCAGAACCCTACCAATGACGCAGGCCTAGCGCATTTCCCTATAGCTCGGCTCGCCCGTCGAACTCGCGCCAGGCCTGGTCAAACCCGGTGGATCGGACCCACATCGGGTGGTGATCGTGGTCGGATGTTGAGTCCATTGCTAAGTGGATCCCGTGTCAGTTAGCCCCAATGCTTTAGAATAGCTTCGGAATAGCCCTGCCGGGTAGTCTGTATTGATAATGAGGGGGACTGTAGACCTACCCATATTGGCAATCCGCAGCCACATATCACCTTTGATCGGCCAGCGGCGCTCCTCCTCAAACGGCCGACAGGCTCGTTCGCCGTTGGCGACGGCACGGACCAGCTTAGCCAGGTGGCCGTCATCCTGCGAGTGGCGGTTACAGAAAGCGAAGATCTCGGCCCAGCTGTGCGCGGTCGGATACGCCCGGATCTCATCCAGGTACAACTCCGGGGTGCCGCGGGAGACGTAGAGCAGGAGGTCGAGACGGCCTTTCCACTCGAGCAGCCGGCATTTGGTTGTCGTGTCTAAAAACGGGAGGGTGAGGAGCTTGGAGAAGAAGATGGAGGAGTTGAGGCTGTGGAGGTAGAAGAAGTCGAACTTGATCTGCTTGGAGGGCCGTTGGGCGGCGCTGGTGTAGTAGACTGGACACGGTCAACAAAACCCGAGTCTGGGCAATGCCAAGGGATAAGGAATACTCACCCACGGTATTGATCATCTCCGCTGTCCGCTCCTCCAACTGCTCCGCCGACACCGTGTACTGGGCCGCGTACGTGAGCATCGCCTCGCCCGCACGGGCCAACACGCCGTCGCGCATCTTGTTCCCATCCTCCCACTGCACCGACCGCGCCAGCGTCTCGTCGCGCCGGATCGCCTCCAGAATCGCCAGCAGGCCCTTCTCCCCGCGCCGCCCGACACCCCCGGCCTGCTCCTCGGCCGGCCAGAAGAACATCGGGCCCGTCCAATCCTCGTGGATGGCCGTCTGCGCCAGCGCCTCGGCCACGATGGCCGGCTGCTCGAATTCCAGGCCGAAGCCCAGGTGGATGAACGGATGAACCAGCCCTAGGTCGTGGCAGCAACCATCAATAGTCAGCAAAGCAATTCACTCCCCAAACAACCTTACCAGACATCTCCGCCTCAACCTCTAGTCATAGCCACTAGGAACGAAAGAAAAGAAGAAAGGCGAAAACAAACCTCCAAAAACCCTCCCCAACATCGCCCTCGCAACCTCATCTTCCCGGAACAAAAACCCCCTCAATACCTCCTCCACGCCCACCCGCTCAATCTCCCCTTGAAAGAACCTCAAAAAATTCGAGTAATGCTTCCTCATCCCCAGCAGCTCCAAGAACCGGTTACGGTCTGCCAGCTCCGCCACGACCGCCTCGTCCACCGCCATCGCTTTCCGCTGGTAGGTGCGGTCGCGCTCGTAGGCGGCGCGGATCTCCTCCGCTGAGGCGCCGAGGGCGTGGATGCTTAGGATGTGGTGGACGATGTGGTCTTCCCATTTAAGTTAGCATGGTGATTTTCCGGGAGGGGGAGTTTGGTGGAAAGTAAAGGGGGTAGAGGGACGGTACTGTGGAATCCCGAGTCATTGAAGAAGACGTGGTGGTGCTCGAGGTCATGTTGGAGGACTTCGCTGGTTGCGCGGGCGGAGGCTTCACTGGGACCGGCGGGGACGGAGACGGAGAAGATCCTCGTGTTCCTCGTAGGTGAGAGGTGGATTTGGTGGGCTGTTGCCATTGTTTTCGTTGGTGTTTGTGGTTGATACGTTGTATAGTGGGCGAGAGGTGGTGATGGTGGTGTGGGCTTTGCGCACCTAACGCAGTGACTATCGATAGGAGCTGTTGTGCTCTTCTTAAGAGCAGTGGGTGTACTCGTGGTATTCAAGTTCCAAGCACCTGATATTGTCGTAGAACACTTCCTGCTCAGCACAGAGGGTCGTGGTAGTGATAGTGCCACCGCATGGGATTTATATCCGATGCGACTACAGATAGTAGTGCATCTAGTCCGTGGACGAGCAGTGATTTGTGTAGTAATCCGATACATCTAGCCTAGCGCCCCCTTTCCCCAGGTTTATAAGAAATATGGTCTGGACTGGACTGACGGGCCAAGGGTTTATTAGAAACCGGGATGCGAAACTAGAAAGTATTGTAGGTGTAGCGAATCAAGTCGAATGCGCGTGGGACCCTGGAGATCCTCCAGCCAAGCAGGAAAACAAATTACCTCCGCTTGTTTTGCGGAGACCGGCTAAGCGCGAGCTTCCGTCCACTTTGGGAAGTGAGACGTCATTCTGATTCAAGCTAGGCTAACTTGGGTGTCAACCCCAGAAAACAGTCCGGTGAATTGTGGTGAAACAGGGTCGCATGATCAGTGCGTCGGAACCATAATACGACGTGCTTATAAATTTGCTCGGCCTTCGGGGCTTGCGGGCTTGCGGGCTTGCTGGGGATAGGGGGTGGTCCCTTGGTTATGTGGGATGCGATCTCGATCGTCGTTCGGGTCTGTGGGCGGTGTCATCATGAGTAAGTGTTTACTTCGTGATCGACATTCGCTGGCTAGGTCAGTCGGGGTCTATTGCAGAATTGCTGGTCGATATGTGAGTTAAATGCCTATGAATATGGGTTATCCTGACCCAGGAATTAGTAGCCCGCCTCTACTGGTGTCTTTGTAGACTGCACCAGGAGTGGCTATCGATAACTGGGCGCTTCCGCAATGTAGCTTCTTTATTTTATATTATGATTTATACTTTCAATCTATATAGTCCATGCTTAAGCTATTCATTCTGCCATACCTATTTCCAAATATGTACCAAAAAAGATAGCTACCGCACGAAGTCCTCCAACTCCTTCTTCCGTTTCAGTCGCTCCCGCTCCATCTTCCGGAACAGCGGATGGTGACCGGCCTTGTCCTTGAGCTGCTTGTTCCGGCTCCGGTTGTACTCGATGTAGGCCATATCCTCGCCACCCGCCAGTCCACTGAGAGTCGCCGCGCTCCGCTTGACGGCGCCCTTGCGAGCCCGGGCGCCTCCCGAGCGCTCGGAGAACAGATCGTCGTTGACGTGCTCGACCTCGGCGGACGTCTCGTTCTGCAGCATCACCTCCTGCAGCAGCTCGCGCCGTTCCGCAGGCGTGGCATACGCAAGGCCCTCCAGGTTCTCGATCCCCTGCAGATGAGTAATCACCTTGAAGGCATAGCCCTGATCGACCAAGAACGCCTGGCGCCTAGAGGAGTAGAACATCTCGTCCGTGTCTTTCGACACCAACGAGTAGAAGAACGCGTTAAAGCCTTCGTCGTTACGGCGCTTGGCCCGCAGAATCCGACCCAAGCGCTGGGCCTCCTGACGACGCGAACCGTAGTGGGACGAGATCTGGATAAGACAAGTGGCTTCCGGCAGATCAAGCGAGGTATCGCCGATCTTGGACAAGAAGATCGTGTTGACCTGCTCGTTGTGCTGGAAGTTCTCGAGAATGCGCATGCGCTCGTTCTGCGGCGTGCCCCCGTAGATGTAGGCCTTGTTCAGCTTGAGCGCATACCGCTCAAGCGCGTAGACGTTGTCCGAGAAAACAATGACCTTGTCCCCGCGCTTCTCATGGTAGTCAATCAGGAATTGACAAGCCTGGAACTTTCGCGGATTCATAATGTACAGCAAGGCGGCTTTTCTGGACTTCTCCCGCATGTACTCCGAATAGAACTCGGTGGTCATTGGGCACCACACTTCGGCACATTGTACCTTGGCGATGTGCCCTTGCTCGGCCAGCTCCATCCAGTTCGCCTCGTACAGCTTCGGACCAATCAAGAAGTTCAAATCCTTGATCTTGTCGTCTTCACGCAGAAGGGTGGCAGTCAACCCCAGCTTGCTCTGACACGCGATGGCGGATGTGACCTTCCGGAACATGGAAGCAGGCACGACGTGCACCTCGTCGAGGATCATCAGACCCCATTCACGCCCTTGAATCCAGTCCATCATCTTCTGCGCATCGTGCGATCGCGCCCGCGTCTGAGACACCATGGAGTAAGTGGAGACGATGATACCGGTCGACCGGCGGAACTTCTCCTTGTTGTCCGAGGTGAAGACCGCGATGTCGCCCGGATCGATGTTCGACCACCGCAAGAACTCGTTTCTCCATTGCACCACAGACATGGAGCTGGTGCACAGGACCATGGTACCCTTCTTGATCGTGCAGGCCGCCGTGATCCCCACCAGAGTCTTGCCTGCACCACACGGCAAGACGATGATCCCACTCTTGGCACGTCCGTTACCGAACATCTTACTCAAGCTCTTCTCCTGGTAACTTCGAATCCGCGCGTTGGGCTTCAAGTCGATATCCAGCGTCGGGTTGATCTCATCGTTCCGGAAATCGTACTCCTCCAACGCGGGGCAACCCATGGCCTGACAGCGCGCCTTCACCGGTTCGACGGCCTCGTTCGGAATCTCGAAGCTGTGCACCTGTGCTTGTTCCTCATCGTCGTCATCGTCCCGGATGGCGAGAAGGATGTCGTCCTCGCGACGCGCCTCCCCCGCCGCATCCTCGGCCGGTTTCTGGTCCGTGGTCTGCTTCACACCCGCCGCATCCTTGGTACCGGGGATGACCAGACCGCCCATCTTCGGCGCCGCCTGCTGGATGATACCCTCCGACCCTTGCAATCGCTGGGGCCCGATGACCTCATCCTGGAGCAGCATCTGCAGCATCTGAGGATCGGTACTCTCCACGAAGAACCGGTTATGTTTCAGCACCACCTTGATCTTTCCGTACGACTTGGTGAAATCGATAATGAACGACTTGATGGTCTCGGGGAGCGGCGTTTTCGACAACCGATCGAGGAAGTTGATGATATCCTGCGGCTGCAGGCCGACCGAGACCGCGGCATACAGACTGTTTCCCGTCAACCGGTACTCGTGGAGATGCGTCGGCCGGGAGAGGGGTTCGGCGATCGTAGTCAGAAAGTCCTGGGCCTGGGGCGCGAGCGGGGAGAAACTCTCCAGGGTGATGGTGCCCTTCAGCGGATCGATCCAGAGGGGGCGATTCGCGTGGTCCGGCTTCAACGCCAGGGACGAGAAGTCCTTGTATCCGAAGTTGGGGTCCTGCTTCTGAATGGCGCCGCCGCCCTTTTTGCTGAAATGCTCGATGTTGAGTTTCTCCACGACATCTGTGAGCGAAACGCCGGAGGTGTGTAAGTCAGTGATTTCGTTCTGGGCCTTTCTCCCCTTCTTGACCCCGTCCTTGTGCTTGCTTACCTTTCAGGTTATCTTCCTTAACGTCCTCTTCGTAGTCCGAATATTCATCACCGCTACTGATATCAGGCACGGGAGTGGCGCGCTTCGAGGCTCGACTCGATCGACCACCTATAGAGTCAGAATGGAATCGCTCTGACATAGACCTCTTCTGGGAATGACGGGCATGGCATACTATCTAAAGCTTTGCGTTTGACCGGCGGCATGTTGTCCAGTCCCGCAGTACCGGGGTATTATTCCTGAGATATGAGGGTCTATAGTTTTTCTATACTGTGCGAAAGCGATTCCGCGCGGTCGCGACAGAGGCAAGGAAGGTATCGATTTTGCTCCCGACAGGCTACCGGCGCCCTTAGTGAGCCGTTCAAATAAGTATGACCATATCCCGATCAGACGAAAAGCACCTACCAGCTTTTTTATTTACTGCTGGTGGTATAGATGGCGGTGGTCGATAAGGGACAGGAGGGATGAGGGGTGAAGGAGGAGGCGTAGAAGAAGAGCATGAACGAAGATCGATCGACTGCGGAGCGGAAGAGGCAAGGCGAGAGGCGGTGGTTGTCAGCCTGAGGCAACAATGGGATTTGCTCAGCCCCGACCAGCGACATGTGGCGTCGGCGCCGTGTGGGCAATTCGATTGGCCAGCGTTTCGGCCGAAGGGCTTCGGCAGTGATTGACGTAGTTCAATCTCGCATTCAATTTCCCCGTCTTAGTCCTCAGTTCGGTCCTCCAATTCCCTTCAATTGACACTGTGTGCAGGAAGTGGTTAATATATCCAAGATGAACACAGTATGTTGACTGACGGGACTTACCCATTCACCTAGTTGCAAGGTTAAAGCTCGCTAACCTCACCTCTCGCTCAACAACTAGATCAAATCTACCTGGTAAGGTGAAAGCCCGCAAACACACACATCCACACAAACACACCACAGCCATTGCAACTTCTCAAGATGCGCCTCAACTAACACGACTCCCAACCCAACAGGATCGGATGGGGTACTCTCTGCGTCGGTAAGCAACGCAATACCCCTCCCTCCCAATTACCCCACACTCCCAACCTCCAACTCCCCTCCCAACCGAGCTAACAGCACCAAAAAAGCCGGCGGCGGCGCCTACTACTTCGCGAAGAAATCCATCAACGCGGACCGCCAAACCCGATTCGAGACGGAGATGAAACGCAAAGCGCAGCTGGCTGCGATGGAAGCGGAACACCGCCGCCAGTCCGCCGTTTCGTTGACCACCCCGATCCCCGTTCCCTCCGACGACCCGAGCCACAAACGCGCCGCCCAGCTAGCCCGGTCGCAGCAGAACGCCGCCGACGACGTCGCCTCGCCCAGCGCCGAGGCGAGCCACGATCCGGCCGCGACGCGCCACGAGCCCGAGACTGAGGCCGACCGCGTGCTGGAGAAGGGGAAGTACGAGGCCGCGCAGCCGTTTCGGCCGCCGAAGGGGAATCGGCTTTAGGGGTGGTGTTTGAGGGTAGATAGGAACAAAAACAACGAGGTATAGAGGGAGGGGGTTTGGTTTGAGAAGGAGGAAGGGAATGCGAAAAGTGCCGGTGACATCTTTCGTGTGTGCTACTGTACCATAATGTTTCCCTTACTATACTGTGTATGTATAGGTTCTGCCGTTTCCGGATATCGGTTCTTCGATGGATGTGCGTATCCGCGTGCACGAATGGCTTGGCTCGTGGGGCTGGATTACTTCCGGTGGAAAGCTTGATTCTCTCTGCAGTCTGCACTACTTCGTGCATGTTTTGGATCTCGTGAAGATCCGGGGAAATCAGAGCTTGACTTACTTCTACAATTGAAACAAATCGACTCTGGATAACCATTCTCGTGCAAAATCGCTTGGTTGATAAGGAACGCAAATTGTATTGCTGCTAGACAGCTAGCTAATTCATAGTCGTAATCATCGTTATCCACTATCTCAGGGCAAATTCCACCTCCGGTAGCGGTAATGAAAGGAGACCGTGGGGGGAAAGACAAAAGAAGAATCCGCCCGTTCGGCATAACTGCCTGGAACCTGTCCAGTACGTAGTTCTCCCCTCCAAAACAAGCGTTTCTCGCACGGTCACGCCAAACAAAAGAAAATATTAAGGTTCGTAAGCTAAACGCCAGCCAGACAAGTTCCTTGATGCCCCTGAAAATCCATATGTGGGGTTTCTCATGATGCAATTCCCTCAGCAAATGTCGTTTGAGAGAGTGATCAAGAAAAAAAAAAGGAAAGAAAAAAAAAAGTATATGTCAGTACCCATACGCCAGCCAGAAAAAAGGATCAATAATCCGACGGTAAGAAAATCGAAGGATGGCGTGATGACACGAGAAAAGTGATGTTGTGTCTGTCTCTGCAAGTATGGCCCCACTCGTGGAGTTAAATCCGAACGGATATATGCGGTCTAGCGGGCATGGAAGCAGAGTGGGGGGTGTGGCCTGATAGAGAGACGATTCCGTCAGTCGAGGGTTGCAGCAATCAACACGCGCGGATTATAAGACTCACTTGTTGTGGGTGGGATTGCCTTTGCTCTTTTCCCGAGAGCTTTCCAGCGCCGGAGGTATGAAGGGAAGAACTACCGCCGAGAAGAGGCAGGAACTGGTGATGAAGCGGGAAGTGCGAGTGTCGGGGCGTGGACGGTGCACCGAGAAATGGCGGATGGTAGGGCGGGCAAATTGGATGGCAATCATTGTGATGGTCTTGAGCGGCAAGGTGTTGGAGATGTAGGCTGGTGTGATGCGATGCGACGCTATGGTGGACAACGAGTTCGAGGTATGTATTGTATTATGGTGTGTGTCGGTCTAGCAGCTTTGTGGAAAGTTGAGGTAAGGCAACTCGAATTTAAGTATAGCAGGGGATCGATCAGGTCTAGCTAGAATTAAGACACCCTGCAGAGGGTGGGAACCATGAGGGATTTATAGTTGAGGCGGTTGTGTGAATAAGAGGAGTTACTCTGGAATCCCGAGATCAGATCATGAGCATGAGCATGAGCGTGTTTCGGGAGGAGTTGCGGGGAGGGTCCAGATGGGGTCATTGAGGCCCACTCATCGACCTACGAACTGGCTGGAGGGGAGGAAAAAAGAGAAAAAAGGGAAAAGAAATAGCGCGCACGCGGAAAAACGGTCCTCAATCGTCATGGCTCCATGGCTCCTGCAGCAGCCGAAACATCGATCGGCTTGCAGCATAGGCAGTTGGGATGAAGGAGGGATTGTCATCTGAGGTGCGCTCTTCATTTTTACTGATTCAAGCCACCAGTCCTCCCTGCATGTCGGAACTGAGCTAAGCAGGTACCCTATTGGTCTTGGATGCATCTGGCCAGTCGATGGCGGATTGAAGGATTCAGATACCTAACAAGGTACTCCAGTGCATCTTCAACCTGCAATTGGCCCCTACGACCATCAGTGGATAAGGAGGGAAGGACCTTGTTGTCATACTGTTGTCGATGACCCCTCCTCCCTCCCCTCTCAACCAAGGTGCGGGTGCAGCGAGGAATGCGTATTTGCCCTGCTCACGCCATCAACAAGAGGGGCAGATGATCTACAAGTTCCGGCCGAAGACGTGAAAGGGAGGGGGAGAGTACTCGTAACAGTCCACAGACTCTAACTTACTACTGAGGACAGTACGTACCCAGCAGAGTCAGAGTTTCCAGTGTGGGGGTCCGGCGACTCGAGATCCGGCCAGGCACACTGGGGGGTAATCGCGGTAGTTGGTGCGGTTGGGCACTGGCGCTGCACTGCATCTGCCCGGGCCGTGGCAATTGCGGTCTGCTCACTGTTTGTCTGATGGCGGGAGTTGACCATCCGGCCGGACACATGAACACATGTAGGTGGACTAAACTTAAGTTTAGGTGACTGCCTAATTCTTCAAGAAGGAGAATGAGCAATGACCAGTGGATCCAAATGCAGGAGTCAAAAAGGTATGCAGTAAGAATTATTAGTATGTCGGAATTGGTAAGCCGAAGAGGACTGAGGAAGGAAATCGATGAATGACGACAGAGATCCCCCGTATCATGTGACCGCCAACAACATACTGAGTAGATAGTTCAGTTCGGTGCAGAGAGCGGTTATTCACACTATGTGATGCTTCAAGCAAGACTAACCAAGAATTTAACGACTGGTGATAAAGATATCACCTGTTCTGACTTGATCGGAAAATGAATTCCAAGACAACTTCCTGTGAACCCTCCAGGTACCGAGTAAAGTTCTGGCTCGCAAGCTTTCCCCGCATTGTGTTGACGGTCGATACCTCAGGCACCAACGTTGTTTAGTCCTGTTCAGTCCTGTCGGCCCTCTGCGCTAGTCCAGCTGCTTCAGCCTCACGCTCCTTTCAGCAACCTCAATCCCTGTTTGATGATGCCACATGTGACTTTCGGCTTTTGGCTCTGGTTTAAGTTACATAGCTCTTGAACGAAAGGAACACTCGATTGAATGACTGCCGAATACGCAATTTAGTCGACCAATGGAGAATGTCGGAATATGCCCATTGAAGAGTGTGCATGGACACCCTGGGTCGACAGACAATAGTCCGTCTCCCGATACAGATCCGATTCAAGGGCACTGAAATGGCGACAATTCCTAGGATTCACCGTCATCATGACTACACAGTCGCGTGGATCTCTGCACTTCCCTTGGAGATGGCGGCTGCAGCCGCAATGCTTGACGAGAGACATCCGGACTTGCCAACTGATCTGAGTGACAATAATAGCTATATCTTCGGTAGCATACACGGGCATAATGTTGTGATTGTATGCCTTCCCGCCGGGGTATATGGCACAACATCAGCGGCAGTCATCGCCAGTCAGGTTCAATTTACCTTCAGATCGATACGGTTCGGCTTGATGGTCGGCATCGGAGGTGCAGCTCCATCACAAGGCGACATCCGGCTTGGCGATGTGGTGGTCAGCAAGCCAACGAGGGATTATGGTGGGATCGTGCAGTACGACTACGGAAAGACTTTAAGCAACAACCGCTTTGAAAGAACCGGCATGCTTAACAAACCACCGTCGGTACTCTTAACTGCGGTCTCCAAATTGCAGGCGGAGCACATGGTGAGGCCGAGCAATATCCCCGGCATATTGTCTGAGATGGTATGCAGGTACCCGAAAATGAAAGACAAATTCACCTACCGTGGTGCAGAGCAAGATGTGCTGTTTGAGCCTGATTATGATCATGAAGACTCTGAGATAACCTGCGCGAACTGTGATCCCAGGAGAAGGGAAAGCCGGCCCGATCGAGGTTATGATGTCCCCGTGGTTCATTACGGCCTTATTGCTTCCGCAAACCAGGTAATGAAGAATGGCCGTATAAGAGATCAACTAGCGAATGAATTCGGTATTCTCTGCTTCGAGATGGAAGCAGCTGGTTTGATGGACAACTTCCCTTGCTTGGTGATCCGAGGGATCTGTGACTATGCAGACTCTCATAAAAACAAGCAGTGGCAAGAGTATGCAGCTGCCACGGCGGCAGCGTATACCAAGGAGCTTCTGTCCATGATTCATACCAAGCAAGTGGTTGACATGCCATCACCTAATGTGGCTTCGGAGCTGGCTCAATATGGTCTCATGGCTCCAAACGGATCGGAAACATCTGCAGGCGAAATAAGCAAGAAAAGTCTACACATAGACATCGGACAGCTACTAGAGCGGATCTCGAACTATGACCATGACAAGGTTCACCAAAGACTTGCCTACAAGCGCCTTCCTGGAACAACTCAGTGGTTCTTGGACCATGCGACATTCAAATCATGGCTTACAAGTTTGGATCAGTCCAGCCTCTGGTGTTCAGGGAAAATTGGTTCAGGTAAAACTATCATCGCGGCTTCCGTCGTTGAGGCTGTCAAGTATCGCGCACTTGAGAACTCCAGCTGCCATTGTCCTACAGTATTTTTCTATTGTGAGAACGAGCATTCTGGCTCGTTACAGGCTTCCTACATTCTCGCCAGTCTAATCAAGCAATTAGCTCGGCTCTTGTACGAGTCGCATCAGGTCTTTCCGCCACATGTTGCTCATGAGCTGGGGCGTTTTTTTGGAAGAGACCGAAGGGTACCAGACTATGATGACCTGCGAGAAATCTTCAACCTTCTGTTCTCATACATGCCAAACACAATCTACGTTATTGACGGACTCGATGCACTAGAACAGCAAGAGTGCCAGAAAATGTTGCTGCTAATTCGAGCAACCTTCCCTTCTGCCAGCCCACCCAATGGATCGAAGGTTATGTTGTTGAGCAGGAATCACGTACCAGGCTACGTGAACATTGCTACATTCATGCCGTGGGCTCTCCGAATCTCAACGTTCAATCACGTTACTCGGGATATCGAATTCTATATCAAAGCCAGTATTGATGACAAGTCTATGCTAAGAAAGCTTACCAGTGACTGTTCCTTACTGGAAGAGATCAAACGCGTGCTTCTGACTGAGGCCTCAGGAATGTATGGTGAAACCCTACAACTTCGACGTATGTAGACTGACTCGAGCAGGTTTCTCTGGGTTTACCTTATCCTCGAAATCTTGTGGGCAACATGCTTCACCGATGCAGAGGTGCGCTCCGCCTTGCGTCGGCTCCCTAAGGGTTTGAAGGAAACGTATAGGCTGTGTACTCAGCGAATTGCGTCTGATCCCAGGGCTGCGAAGGTTCTTAAATGGGTCAGCTTTGCTACCAGACCATTGCATATCGATGAACTGAAGGAAGCAGTAGCCTTTGATCTCCATGATACTTGCTGGGATCACGAGAAAGTACCCCAGGACGAATTTGTGCTCGGCTGCTGCGCTAATCTCGTGGTTCAGGACCCTACTGATGGCTGTATTCGCTTCGCGCACTCGTCGGTCAAAAAGTTCCTTCTGAGTCATCGAGCCGACCATGAGACCAGATATCTGGAGAGCGAGGCGCGAGGAAACCTTCAATGTGGGGAGTTCTGTGTTGCTTACCTCTCTTTCTCAAACTTCAGCTTACAGGTTGAGACGCAAGGACGGGATCACAACTCAACAGGCTTGGCAGTCTCGCCAGCTTTGCTTGCCGGTGAAGCGATCAAGTCCTCCTTGTTTTCTCTTTTTCGTGCGCCGAAGATTCAGAAGGCTTCGATGAAACTACCCATTCGCCCGGTCCGTACGGACTCGCCTGGGGAGCAATTCAAATTCCTCGGTTACGCTGTATCTAATTGGGCATTGCAGACGAGAGACATAACACCTCAGTCTCCGGTGTGGGAGAGCTTCACGCAGCTTGCGACATGTTTCAATGAAACTTGGAATTTTCACCCCTGGGTGGCGGGTGGACGCTCACGCCACTCGTTTCTCCATGGCCTGCTTGGGTGGGCTGTGAGGGAACAGCATATTCCTCTTCTTCGGATTGTTATGTTGTATAAAGAGGAGCTCGCCAAGATATGCAACCTTCCGCTGATTGGGGAAAGCCTCCCAGCTCTGCACCTTGCGTCAAGGTTCGGTTTCACCTCGATTGTGAGGCGCTTGCTGAATTTATGCGAGGTCAACTTGCCTGATCTTGAAGGGTATACGCCACTCCATCACGCGGCTGAGAAGGGCCACTCAGCTGTGGTGTCAATGCTTCTGAGAGAGACGAGTATTGCCGTCAATAGCAAATCTCGAACGCAGGCTACACCCCTCTGGTTGGCAGCGCGAAACGGACACTTAGATGTGTTGAAGGCATTAATCAAACGGGGTGGAGACACCGAGGCGAGAAGCATTGACGGCCAAGCACCAATCTCCATAGCGAGGCAAAATAAGCATGAGAAAGTGGTGAACCTACTTTTCGGAAAAGGGTCTACGATTCTGTTTGTCAGGAAGTCATTGGCCGAGATCGCTTCTGAATGGGAGCTTGGACATCTGACCGATGATGACGCAATTCGAAAGTTCGAGAGCGAGTTCGAGAACGAGATCACCTTACTAGGAGAGGCTGAGCTAGCTGCTAGGGTCGGACAGCCACGCAAATCCGGTCGTCTACCGAACGGGGAGCTGTCACCATCATATACCTTACTCGCCGTGGAGATTGAAAGTGTGAATCGGCTTATGCTGAGCCTTCTCACCTTGAAATGGATTGCTGGTGGTGATTATTCTTCCTTCACACAGCACCAGCACGAAAGCATACGATTGACGAAAGAGTCCTTCGAGACGCTTCAAACATGGGTCTCGAAAGTCTTAAGACCTTCCAATCAATTCATGGTCTTGATTCTGTTGACTGTAATAGAACATCTGAGCCAAGAGTTAGGCGCACCGCAGGCTGTGAAACTCAGAGAGAACAAGATTTGGAAAACCGACTCGGAGGAGAAAGCGTGCACGCCCCTCTTGAAGCGATTTCGGAAACATGAAGCAGAATTACGAAAAGCGCTAAATCTTCGTAAAAAGATCGACATCGCTGAGTTGGTCCGAGGCCAGGTCGCTCTAGAATCTCTGCAACAGCTTTCATCAAGTCACCAGCACCTGTTCCAACTGAACTATCTCACGTATGTGCTCCACAAAGCTGGAGCAGCCGCCTATACCAACAGTTATGGTTGGCCGGGGCTGACCGAATCTGTTCTCGTTCTGTGTATGGAAAGCCTGCCGGTGTTTCTGGGTATCATGTCTGGCGAAATCGCCGTGTCTACGGGGTTTAGGCAGCTTGCCGATGTCAGGAATAGGTTGCTTGTTGCGGGCTCCGATGCCGCCGAGTCGTTTTGGGACCGTAGTCATTTTGTCCAGCGGGAACCATCATAGAGTGGCTGGGATTGGCCTGCATGAGACTCCAGTTCATTTTTGAAGAGAGATGTTGCCGAAGAAATGGCCGACCGCTGTCCTCAGGTATACACAATATAGAGGGTTACATTGATACTCTTCTGTGGCGGGTGCCAGCATTAGCCGAAATATATACAACCATGGCTCAACTTACTTCCACTTTGTGATAGAGTCAAGCAGTCATCAACAGTTTTATTCTTTTTGCAATCTGTTCAAAATCAAGTCGAGGTGGTTTCCTTCTCACTTAAATATATTTCACGTGTCTGGACTCAACGTCTTAGGCAGTATAGACTACTATACTCCAGTGCGGCGCATCTCCTCTTAGCCCGCTTCCCATTTTCTGTCCCCCACCACATTGCATCCGCTTGATTTAATCTTCATATTTATATATACAGTGAACTGTGCTTCCGGAGAGGGAGATCGGTCCGGAGTAAATACAAGTAAGATGATATTCAGTTGAACCCCCCTAGGCCGGGCGGTCGGGCCATAAACAAACAAACCGACCGCCAGCCGGACTTCGCCTACTACAACTCTCCCACCACCACCACTGCTCAATATTGTACTGGCAATGGCCCTTCCAATATCAGACTTTACCAGTAGATCCCTACGAGTGAAGTGCCGATCTAGCGCAATTTCCCCAGTTTGGCCCCCAGAGGCTCAAACACTGGTTCATCATGAGCCACTCTGGCCAAAAGGCACCGTTTCCGCGTGGGGGCCACCTCCTAATGCAGGGGGTCAAGCCAGGCTCCACGGTAACTTTTCCGCATTTTGATTTCACTGAACGAGAACAAGGACTAACAATTTTCTAGGGTCTTTGATACTGCATGCATGACTTCTAGGAAGCAAGAAGAGAATCCGGGCAACTCAAAGGCACTGACGAGAACGGTGCCGTTGCACGATTAACCCATCTACGCCGCAGATAAGCAGGAACCCGGTCGGCCCGCCAGCTGATATCATGTAATGTATGTACCACTCAGCCTCATGTCAACTATTCTTGGTGGCAGGATCATCGCCCGGCTAAGACACAGCCATGGCCTTCGGACCATGAGATACCCTGCCCACCACGACTCGATCGCTCCACGGCTCCATCGCGGTTGTTCCTATTCGCATCAGATCGCTGAGCGGCAATCATGCTCATTTCACTCTCAAATAGACCGTACGAGATATTCTTCAATCCCGAATGAATGAAAGTGTCTGGGCAATGCCGCTGTGAATAGAAGCGAATTGCTGGTGGGGCGAGGGTGCATGGATCCGAGCCAAGCATTTCCTGAACCTATCCCATGGATTAGAATGCTTGACCTATGTTGGTGTGCCTGATTCATCCTACCGTGACGGCAAGCAGGGGCCTTGAAACAACTCTAAGATTGTTGTGGGAAGGGTCCTTCCTTTCCAGCTGGAAAATTCAGTCTCTTCGCTCTGTCTGGACCAGGCACAATTCTGACGCCAAGAAAGGTACACGGCCTTTGTATGGCATCGCGCAAGCCAGACAGCTGCTCTGCATCCCAAAGTGGAGAAACACGAGGATTCAAGGTCTATGTGCTTGGGGGATTGCGGGCGAAGGCTGCTATGATGGGTCCCAGCGAAGCCCTATGCAGCCGCCCCCAACTTGGCTAGGAACGAGAGCTATCGCCGGTTGGCTTCCCCATGGCTGCGCCCCTTGGGAGCTGCATTTGCAGTCTGAGTCTGGAATATTACTCTTTGCAGACAGACGATCGTCTAATGAAAGGAGCAAGGTGAGCCGGGCTGACATGAGACCACCAAAAGATCCTGAACGGATGAACTTGGGGGCCAACAGTATGGCCTGGTTTAAAAGACCAGAAGATGTCGGCGGATTCAGAGATACTCACGCAAATCATCACCTTCTCTCTCTCAGTCACTCTTTCTTGTCCACCGCGACAGTCGTTCTTTTCATCACGATAGTGATACACGCTCTTTCGGGACTATCCCTCTTCATTCGTTCATTTCGACTATCGACCTGGTTGTCATAATCAAAATGGTTAAACTTCTTCAAAACGGTCTGGCATCGGGCCTCATGGCCTACGCCTTGTACCAGCAAGCTCTGGCTGTGGAACTGGCCGAGATCGACTCGTACGAGACGACGACCACCAACACCGAGGTGAAGATCGCGGTGTCGGGGTCCACGACTACTACCTCTACCTCTTCTTTGGATCTACAGGACCAACACTCATTCTACTGGGGTGGTAAGCTTGAGAGTTTGTGATTTGCATGTCTAATGGCTAATACGGACTGACTAGGCGGCGAGACCGACATCCTCGGAAACTTCACGGTGGGTATGCTGGAGGACTATGAGAGTATCCTCGCCATGGAAGCGTTCAAGGATCTGGTTCAGAATGTCACTTGCACCAACGGCACCAGCGCCAGCGTGACCGTTGCATTCCAGGACTCGACCTCATACTCCTATGCCAAGAACGCCTGGAACTGGGTCAACGACGACGATGCTCACTATGTCATGCTGGTGGCCGGTGCTGGCCAGTGTGGCTGGAACACCATCCGACAGCCGTTCATCATGACTGGGGCCAGCTTCCGCGACAACGTCAACACTGCCCGGTTCACCGGCAACGTGACCGAGTGGGAGGATTCTGTGCGCAACTACGCCATCAAGATCGGTAAGCCCACCACGGACTCGCAGGTTGCCATTGCGAAACGCGGTGTCACCAAGAGAAAGCGCAGTGAAAGCACCAGCGACAAGACCATCGACATCGCCAAGGACTTCTCCTTCAGTGACAAATCCCTGTTCGACAAGGACGGCGTCTCGCTGTCTGCGGGGTGCTCGACCTGCAAGACCGAGGGAGAGTTCGACCTGGTCTTCGAGTACACCAGCGGTGCCAGCGGCCTGTGGAACGTCATCACCGGCAGCGAGAAGGCCACGGCCACCTTGTCGCCCAAGGGCGTCTCCGCCTACATCGAGCCCCAGGTCAAGCTGGGCGGAAACCTGACCAAGTCCGAGGCGGACGAGGTCGACCTGGTCACGATCCCCATCGACGGCATCAGTATTGCCAAGATCGCCACGATCGGCCCCATGGTCAAGGTCGCCCTCGGGTGGTCGATCGGCCCGATTGACGGAGAAGCCACCATCGGCATGGGTGTTGAGATCGATCTCAAGGACTCCGCCACCGCGGAGCTGACCTTCGACGAGGGCTCCAAGAACGCCGTCAGCTTCACGCAGAGCGGCTGGTCTCCCACCGTCACCACCACGGACATTTCCCTCGATGCCAAGCTGGAGGCCAACGTCGAGATCTACGGCAAGGTGTCCGTGGAGCTGGAGCTCGAGATCTTCAGTAAGTCAGTCCTGCCAGGAAGACGAGTAAAGCTAACGCGCAAAAGGCTATGGCTGGGAAGCTGGTATCTACATGCAGCCCTACGTCGGTGCCGACCTGGCCCTTGAGGCTTGTGAGTACCCCTTTCCATGGAATAGTGTGCTGGTGCTGACTGAATCCCAGCCAACAAAGCCGCCTGCTCCAAGGACGGCTCCGAGTACCACTACGCGGTCGAGATTACACCGTCCGCGGGTGTCAACCTCGTTGCCGACGTCGCGAGCGCAAGCGACGAAGCCAACCCGATCAGCACCTGGAACATCGCGGTAAGTGTGCCCGATGCCTGACAGAGAGGAGGTGCCTTACTGATAATCCCATCAAGTCCATCGCCACCACGCTGTCCGAGCAATGCTTCGGCTTCGACAAGATCACCTCCACCACGACCACGACGACAACCACCAAATCCACAACGGAGAGCAGCTCGAAGACGACCAGCTCCAGCTCCAGCTCCAAGCAGACCGGCTCCTCCTCCCACGTCGCCAGCTCCTCGGCCACCTCCAAGGCCACCTCCAAGGCGCACCCCAGCAGTGGCTCGGCCCACGCCACGTCCACGTCGGCCGCGTCCAAGACCTCCGCCCACGCGTCCAGCCACACCCCCACCATCACCGCCTCGCCTTCGCACAAGGCCCGCCGCAACATCATCGGCGGTCACGGCCGCCGCCGACACTACTAAATCTGGAGGGGTGGACCAAGGAAGATAGGAGGTGATTGGATTCGGTTTATGTGATGATAATAATTTCGCTTCTCTGCCGCTTTTTGGTGGCATGTATATTTTGGCTTATAGATGATGCATGTTATGTATACGAGTTGAATAGTTAGTCGGTTGTGTATGTTGTGTCAGAATCGACCTGTGTATCAAAGTAAACTCTTTATCAGACCAACTATCGCAGTGACCCTTTATCAGACCCAACCTCTCTCAAAGCAACCCTTCATATTAGACATGAAACCAGTTGACATAACTGTTGACATCGTTGATCGCAGTTGCCCACCCAATACTTAGTAAAAAGCACAATGGTCAGTAATTGCCACTGACCCATAAAAGGACTTTCATGACTAGTACTAGCAGTTAACAGTATTCCCTACTAGAACCACTTTCGTCCTGGAAATAACCCAACAGTTGTATTCCCCTGTAACCACACTAGGGCGGACGGGGTCACGTGCAGCAGGTAGCTTCCCGCAGCCGCCGAGCGTCGGGCATGACGGCCGCTCTCACTTCCTCCTCACCTCACCAACAACACCCCCACACCGAGCAGCGATGGCATCCCATCAACTTGCCATCGCGAAGGCCTCCTTCTCAGCGGGGCTGCTGCGCCCCGACCCAACCTCTGTGCCCCGCGACGCCATCACCGCATTCCACACCTCGCTCGACCGGGCGCTGGCGCAATGCACCCCGGCAAACATCCAGGTTTGAGCCGCCGTCGCCGCCTCTCGCCCTTGCTTAACCACCTCAAGACATACTAAATCACGATGTTTTCTCCCGATCATTCTAGACCTGCAAGACCTGGCTCATCGACCACCAAGTGGTCTCCTCGTCCAATCGCGTCGGCGTGTGGGCCAAGTACCTGGTCGCGCTGTCGGCCTCATTCGAAGATGCGCCCGCGGCCGCGGCACCACCACCGGCCAAAAAAACCTCGGCGAAACGCAAACGCCTCCACATCCTCTACCTCCTGAACGACCTTTTCCACCACACCAAATACCACCTCCCGACGACCGCCGCCTTCGCGACGCTGACGGGCGCCCTGCAGCCGCACGTCGTGGACCTCCTCGGCGCCGCCGCCGCCTACTCCCGCGAGCAGCACCCGAAACATCATCGCCGGCTGGATGAGCTCCTCGACATCTGGGGCCAGAACGGCTACTACGCGGCCGACTACGTGCACAAGCTCCGCGAGGTCGTGCAGAACGCGGCGCTGTCGGGCCCCGTCAAGACCTCGCTGATCGTCGAGGAGAGCCTCGCCGTCGCCGAGAAGGAGCTTTCCTCGTTACAACACCACCAGAAGAACGTGCCATTTGTCATGCCGGCCACGCATGGCGATCCCGCCACCCCGTGGTATGATCTGCCCGCCGGCAATCTGATCCCGCATATCATCCCGGACGAGGCGGTGCCGTTGCGCGGGGAGGCCATCAGGCCGTTGCAGTTTCTGGCGGGCCCCGCCGATGGGAAGTTGGTGGCGGCGTTGAAGCAGTTTCTGGGCGAGGTGGACGGGATCTATGCGGGGGCCGCGGACGAGGCGGTCGAGCATGAGGAGGATGAGGTTCTGGATCTGGATGAGCTGGGCCAGCTCGTCGTGCGCGAGAGCTTGAGCGGCGAGATCGTCAAGGGCGAGACGTATTATGGCTGGTCGAGGGGGTTCTGTCAGCAGATGAAGAAACGAGCCAAGAAGGGGAAGGAGGAGCGGAGTCGCAGCCGCAGCCGGAGCCGGAGCAGGAGCACACGCAGTCGCAGCCGCAGTCGGGGCTCGTATCACAAGCGACGCTACAGCGAGAGCGAGAGCGAGGCGGGCGGACGATGGAGAGGCGACAGTCGGTCGCCGCGCAGACGACGCTACGGGTCGCGGCCCCAGTCCCGATCCACGAGGTCGCGATCTCCCCCTCCGCGTGGAGGAGCATGGCAGCAGCCGAGGGAGCGGTCCCGGTCGTATTCTCCCCAGCCGACGCCGGCGGGCTATCGTTCGGACTATCGCCCGCCCCCTACTCCTGCCTCGAATCCGTACGGCTCTGCTGCCCCTCCTCCCCCTCCGTCGCTCCTGCCGCCGACACCACATGCCCTTCCGCCCGCTCCTCCCCATCCATCCATGGGCTATCCCCCGCCGCCTCCTTCCTCCTACCAGGCCGGATTCCCCCCGGGTCTTCCCCACGCTCCTCCTCCCCCTCCCCCAAACTACCAGGGCCCCTGGCCGCCCCCGCCGCCCCCAATGCCCTTCCCGCACCCGCAACAGCCCTCCCACTTCCCACCGCCATATCAACAGGGCCCACCCGGCCAACCCCCGGCAGCTGCCCAGTACCACCACCCGCCGGGCCAGTACCAACCACAACCAGGCCAAGGCCACTACGCCGCCCAGCAGATGCCCCCGGGCTCATACCACTTCCCCCCGCCCCACCCATCGCACACCCACGCCCCCGCCCATGGCCATGGCCGAGGCTGGCAGCAGTACTCACGCGGTCGCTAGGTAGTCGACAGTCCATAGAGCGGTAGATAGAGACTATTCACAATGTACCCAGCCAACAGATAATCCATTACTCTCCCAATAAAATACATGTAACCATACAAAACAATCAACCCAAACCACCCTCCACCCTCCACCCACCACACATCTCATGCTAGAGTAGAGTATACCGTCCCGGGGGAGAACCCCAGGACCCCCCTTCCTTTCAAACTTCATGGTAACCTCAACCATCATCCATAGAACTGTAAAGCATTCCCGGGGGAGAACCCCCGGACCCCCCTTTTCTTCAACTTCCTGGTACCCTCAACCCAAGCCCATCTAAAGAAAAATCCCTGACCCTCCCCGGGATTTGTGTATCTATTTAATTAGGTCCCCCGCCCAAGCCAACAACACTCCCCTTGTGCCCAAACACCCCCGCTCCACCCTCGAGTAGCTCGCCCAGCCCCAGATCCGGCAACGCAGGGAGAGGCAACGCAGGCAGGCCCCTCTTCGCCGGCGTCGCACTCGGCCCCGCCCCAGCCCGCGCGGGCGTCGGCGACGAACTCGGCGACGGAGTCGGAGAGGGCAAAGAAGAAGAAGAAGCAGCAGCCATCCTCTGCGCCTCCGCCTCGGCCTGCGCAGCGTCCGCAGCGTCGTCATCCGCCTTGTCGACCATGGCCTGGTCCCAGCTCGTGCATGCTGTTTTGAGGGTTTGTTGGGATGTTGCTTGCTATCCGCCATTTTATTCTCGTTAGTATGTGGCCAGAACATACCCGCAAAAACGGGGGGGATTTGGGGTAGGGGAGGGTAAGGTGGGCTACGTACGCCGGGGACGCCCTCGCAGCACATGACGGATTCGAAGCAGCTGGCGTTCGGGTCGCTGTTGGCCATTGCGTTGCCTATTCCATTCGGTTTTGTTGTTAGTATATACTGGGCAGCTTAAAGCGGTAGATTTCCCCAAGTATACAGCACTGTAGGTAACCAGGAAGTTGGAAAAGAAGGGGGGTCCGGGGGTTCTCCCCCGGGACGGGAAATCCCCCAGTCCTTAGGATAGAGGGTGTTTAAGGAGGAGAGGGGGGTGGGTAACGTACACTCCAAAGCGATGAGACTGGAGACGTCGATGCCGGACAGGTAGGGGATGAGCTGGCCGAGGGGCTGCAGGACGGAGTCGGCGACGGACTCGATGCTCTGGCAGCATTGCTTGGAGGGGCGGCCGGTGGGGCAGGTCTGGGTGGTGCCGGGGTTCTGGGTGGCGTTGGGGTTGGGGATGAGGGAGATGGCGCTGGCTAGGCCTGAGGGTGAGTCGTTGTCTTTGCTGTTTTCATTGTCGTCGGGGTGCGAGTTGGTCTTGGGGTCGGGGTTGGAGTTGGATTTGTCTGTGGTCGTGGGGTTGGGTTCGGGGTTGGGTTGATCTGTGGATTTGTTTTTGTCGTCCTCGTCTTCGGGGCTGGGGCTGGGTTTGATATCTTCTGCCTCTGCTTCTGGGCTGGTGGTGCTGGCGGTGGTGCTGGCGGTGGTGGTGGTATGTTCCGGTGTTGCGGCCTTGGTTCTGGTGCTGGTGCTGGTGCGGGTGCGGGTGCGGGTGCTGGTCGGGGCAGAGTGTGCCTGATGAGTTTGAGTTTGTGTCTGCGGCCGCATGTTCTGCAGGACGTGGCTCTTGATGGCTTCGCCTTGGTCTTGGACTTGGGCTTGGGCGTGGCCCTGGCCCTGACCCTGACCCTCACCCTCACCCTGGCCCTGGGTCTGGGTTAACGCATCCGAGTCCGGGTCATCGTGGAGTTGCGCTGGGTGAGGCGTGAAGGGAATAGCGAGCGCGAGCGGCGTGATGAGCAGCAGGGTGGAGAGTTTCATGTTTCTGTTTTTGGTCTTTTATGTTTTCGATTATTGGGTTACTAGTATGGTGGATAATAAGTGCCACTGCCAGTCAAAAGAGTGTATAGGGTGAAAATCCAGAGAACCACTAAAGGATTGAATGGAGTTGGTCGACAGGGTTCTGGTTTGGCGGGCGTGTTGGGCGTGGGCGTGGGCGTGGGCGTTGGGGTTGTCAAGGGGTGGTGGTGGCGTTATTTGTATAAGACATGGCTTGCGAGTTGTTGGCTTTGCAATGTAGGTAGCTAGGGCTGCCAAATTCCTCCCTCGGTGGACCGGCTTTGGCTGGCAGGGATGCGACTTGGTTTATCAGGGTTCTTGTTTGGAATGTGCCGGTGTGGAATGTTGGGCCTTGGGTTGAATCTTGGAAGAGTGGTAGAGGACCAGGTGGTTGCCAGTCGATTCTCATGGTCGGGATGGTTAGCTGGTGCTGGAGATTTAACATTAATTGTATGTGGTGACTGCAAGAAAGGGGGTTGATGCAAGGACAGACTGCCACCAAAATTCATATTAAAGTTGTATTGTAGGACCAGTCCTAGCTGCAAAAACATACAAGATAACTACAGGTTTCACGCCGACCGAGTCAACTACACAGTAACATTATTCGACACTGCATTCACTGTTGCAGCATCATTGAGCATCATTGTCCCAAAGAACGACAATGGTCGGAGCAGATTCCCCGAACAAACACAACGTGGCTATCCAGGAATGCAGAACCAAACGCAAACCTCGGTGAAACAGCAACCATCTCTGCAGCGAGATACATGACATGCAGAAAAGTCCACTGAGTCAAAAGTCCGATGGTAAATCAAAGTCCATTCGATTCGAGGTATCAATCATATACAAAAACAAAACCACGGGTCATAATCGTCAAGCCTCAAGCTCGAGAAATCGCCCTTCTATCGGGCGCAATGCGTGTCGCTCGGCATTGCTTCGCTTCGCTTCCAAATCAAGGCGTTCTCGCTAATCCAGTAATTCGAAACGCCTGGGAAGTCCCAGCAGCCACAACCTTACTAAGGCTAGCCACTGACCCCCCAAAGCACACCAACTCAAACTCCTTTTCATTAAACGTTCACTCGTGTAAGCTGGTTGCACCAAACATAAGTCAAGGCTCAGCCTCGACCTGTTCATGCTGGACCCAGCTTAGACGAGTCTGCGCCGGCCCTGCGGCGCGACGATTAGGCATGAGGAGACCCCGCCGAAGTAGAAGTCGGTCCAGCCGCTTGACGGGCCAGCACGCCGCTGGTCGAGGTGCCGCTGTTGCCGCTGGTCTGACTGCTGCGGCTGCTCCGGCTCGGGAACGAGCCCTTGTCGTCGTCGAACTCGGCGAAGTCCGCCATCCGGCGCTGCGTGTATTCAAGCATGATTCGGTTGTAGTCCTCCACCGAGCTATGGGGGTCGGTGGTCCGGTGACTGTGGATGCGGTAGTCGCCGGGAGGACGGCAGGCCTCGCCTCCAGTGGGAGGCATCGAGTGGTACTGATCTTCGTTCATCGAGGCGGCCATGTTATCTTGTCTATCGCCATCAGATTAGCGGTTTTCCTCACTATCACGCCATGAATCTCCACAATGCGTTTCGTTTTGACCATCAATGTCATGTCATCCCGACCACGCAAAGGAGCAAACACATACAGAAAGGGCATATTGTGGATAGAACCGAATGCTGAGCCTCACCTTTGGCAGACCGTAGCGGAAGTAGGCTTGGATAGGGAATGTAGAATACAATAGACAAAGAAGATTCGTGAAAGCCCAGGTAGGACAGGACTACTTCATCTCAATAGAAGATAGATCTTTCCAAGGTGCGAGGACAGGGCACAATATATGCGGCGGGAAACACAATCGGACCGAATGAGATCACAACAACAATCATGACGGTGGTCCATCAATGTGCATGCCGTGACAGTAGGTTCCAAACTGTTGTCTGCATGATGGCCCACATCAAAACGGAAGTACCCACCAACCCATGCCCACGGATGAGGTTATGCTCTCGCCCTTGAGAGGGCGTATGACATCACGACAGCCAATGAGGAGGCGCGCCTAGCATACACTGAGAAGGGACCATTTAGCAAAAAAAAAAATCGGCGCCCCTTCCCCAGCAGAGTCCCTTAATTCATCGGTACGGGCTTGCGGCGGCGGCGACTAGGGCGGCGTCCGTCCTACATCAGAGAGGATGCTGATCGGAAATAACCGTACTCCACTGGCTCGAGAGTCGGCGTTCCCCCCGGATGGACCACGGTCCACCCTCTCGAGGAGCAGAATGAGGTCACTGGTGGAATGCGACTGGCTCATCTGCGATACATGGCGTTGTGAGATCGCCAGTTAACTTTTCTGGTGGTCGTTGCTGCGGCGCACCGTCCCTGCAGATCGACGCTGCGACGGGGGGCGGGAAGGGTGACTGCCCGTAAGCGACTTAGCGACATGAGCGTCAGGGTGTGAGCTCGTAGGAGTCGAATGTTTGACAGCGGGCTGGTGTGGCCAGGGGAATGAAGAAAGATTTGGAACAGGATGTGTCATAGCCGGAGCTAGCACAAAAAATGGGGGCGATCAGAATTCACTAGATTCACTAGTGTATGCAGCGGGGGGGTGAAGCCATCCCCCGAAGACCAAGCGCTGTCGGTCGTCTGCAGGCAAAAATGGCCTCCGATCGGGGGTGGTGCTGAGTGGTGCTGGGGGTGCTGGGGAAGGATCCCAGTTGAGGAGTGATCAACAGTTCGAAGAATCGGTGATGATGGGCTCTGAACTCATGGGTGAGATTTCGAAGAGTTCGATTGCTTCTGATTCGTCCCTGGGCACGGATGTCTCCAGCGAAGGCCCGTGGATGAATTCTGGTAGTGAGAAAGGTAGAGTTCGAAGCTTGTAGTGGATGGTGGATGAATAGTTGAATACTGCAAAAGGTGGATGGATTGTCGGGAAGATGCCGGCGCCAGTGCCTGAGGCCGCCATTCTGACGTCACGGGCTGTGCCACCGAGTCATGGATGGAGTCGCATTGCCTTCATAGTTGTTTCTCTGCACGACCATCCCAGTTGCTGGAGGAACTTATCAAAACAACCCGTTGTGCTGCATTCAATTCCCATCAGCGAAGACACGATTTTCTTCTTCTTTTCGATTGAATGCGACGAGAGTGAGGGCAGGGAAGCAAGCCCAACACTGACCATGGGCGGGGGGCTTCCATGGCTTGCATGGAACTATTTTTCCGGCGGAGTTGCTAGTCGCCCACTACGTAGTAGTCAGTAGTTACTCTCAACGACAGCGTGACAACATGACAATTGGAGGATGGATATCTCCATCTACTCATGCCTAAACAATGGCTCAACGGACGATGCAGCTAGTACAACACAGCACAGCAATGGCCATACTGCTATGTAAATGCAATTGTCAGCGATAGACCTGCGCATAACTTATCCGCTTGATTGCCCACACGTTGTCGATCCACCTCCAGCAAACGAGGTGGATCGATCTCTCGACTCCACGACTCCAACCACCTAAACACGTCCAAAAGGCCAACTGGCCTCGGAGTACACGCGAGTGCAATCGTGGTTCTTTGCTTACGGTCCACGTCGCTCATGTTTCAGTGACCCAGGCAACCGAGACCCGAGGCTCACAGCACAGCATCAGATCCCTACAGTGGATCGAACCCCTGCTCTAACACCCACTTGGAACTTGCATCGTACCAACAACTAAATCAGACCTCTGATGGCGTAAAGCATCGACGACAGTAGCACGCGCTTTGACATGCTGCAGATACAATGACTTTCCATGGACATCAAACCGACGATCACCACTTCAAAAACCAAGTCCCCCGAGCCATTGGCATGTTCTAGAACCGCTAACGGTTTCGCGCTGCTTGCCATTGCCCTATGAAGTCAGCGGGAAGAAGCTGCCAGGCGCACTTCTTCCATATCATCCGGAAAACAGCACTGCAAGAGTTCCAAGAACAATAACCACGTTAACCAAACGGTAAGTATGAGTAGCACCTTTACATCCCATTCTTGGTGATTGAATCATTGTTTGTGGGCGGGAAACCGCAGAAGGGGCAGTGGAGGACAGTAGACAATGGACGAGGCTGGCAGGGCTACGCAGGCGCTCACCCTCACCCATCAAGATGATATCACCCAATTCGCCTCCCCTCCCCGACCAGGTCCAGATCACTATCACCAACTTCATCGTCATTTTTCAGTTCCCCTTCTCACAGCAACGAGAAACAATTCCACTCTCTCAACCTCTCGTCACTCAATGCCCGTAACCCTTAAACGTCATACCCCATAGTCCCAAGAACTCGTGGAACCCTCACCCCCTTCCATTCGCATTTGCCCCCTGATGCGACTTGCGCAACACGACACCCGGTACGGACCCCTGGTCAATACAGTGCGGCTCTCCAACTTTCTTTCGTTTTAGGGGCAGGGAGTCTCGGCCGGGGAGGTTTCGCTCTCACACCTGCAAGACCCATGACGCCACGCTTATCGTCTCCGAATCACGTTGATCCTGGCCAGGCCAGGCCCACTGTTTCAAACACTTTGATATTGCTTATACTCCAATACAATCCAACAGGGTCAGGGATGTGGTTTTCCCGAATGTTTCGCCATCGACGTCGACATCTCCCTTTGGCATACATATGCTATAGTCATGCAATGACGAGATGGCAAATCAATGTAGCTAGTACGAGTAGATATGCTACCGCCATCACTCAATGGAACTAGCAGGTAAGACTGCAAACGTGTGGACAGTACCTGAACCAAGCCGAATACCTGATTCTTCAGGCGGGCTGGGCTATAGTTATGACGGAGATGGCGAAGAATATCATCGTCATCGTCATCGTCGTCGCCGTCGCCGTCTTGCCCTGTCACGTGGGATATGGATGCAGGCCCTGTCATATTTTCTTCATACTATAGTCGTAGTCACTCTGAAGGACTTTTTTAAACCAGAATCAAGAGTGAGGCAGATATGGGCTTGCCCTTCCCATTGTTTCTCCCAAAACCTTCTAGACACTATAATTCGAAATTATCCCAGTGGACGACTACTAGTTTCCTCTTTCTCTCTGATAGTTGCCTCTTATTTTGCGTAGAGCCAGAAGTTCGATTGTCCTAGAGACACCCGTTAGCACCGTCGTCCAGTACATTCAAAGCAGTAATGGTCATAAAACATGCATCCATCCATCGCCCTCCTCTCCCTCCAGCCCACCCGAACCCGAACCCAGAGAAAGAAGCAGCTATAACCTGCCGTGGCTTACCTTGCCTGCTTCCTACATTCGACCCAGATACCCAGCTCCCCCTTCCTCCCCATACCCCAACTGATCCTATGTCCCTGACCCCTGACCCCGTGAGACGTTCAAACCCCGAAGGAAACGATCCAAAGCCCGACATCGAATCCCAGATACGACGACCCGGGATGACGAATTAGCAAGAACCGGCAGGCGAAAATTGGCCACAACGCTCCTCTCTCCCCCTCCTCCTCCTCCTCCTCCTCCCTCTCCTCCCTAGGCCTATTACCCTGGCAGGTACACACACTACCCTGCTTTACTTTGCCCTGCCCTGCCTTGTTTCCCTTGTTTCCCCTCCCTTCTCCTCGCACAAGACAGTCCAGAACAACCGCCCAGCCAACCATTCAAGCAGTCAACCAACCAACCCAGCCAACACCCATATCCTTACCCCAACCCAACTCAAAGAAAAGAAAAGAAAAGAAAAAGAGGAGCAAGCAATTCAGCAGAGAGACCCACCCACACGGCGACTCCATCCCTCGCCCCAACCAACCCCTCGGACCTAGTTACCTGCCACTTGAAACGCAGGTCCCCGTACCTACCCACTGTGTTGGTTCATCCAACTCAGTATCTGTGAAAAGCCTATGACTGTAGCAACAGAAAAGTATGAATGACCGAACGAATCGAATCAAAAAACTCACTTGCCTGCCTTCAAAATAATCCCATCCATCCATCCATTCATCCACTTACTAAGAACCAAGTAACGTATGTGCATAGTAGAATGTATACCCCGGAACCCTACCGAAGAACAAAACCAAGAACCAGGCTTGGAAGCATAACACCCACTTACCGATAGACTGAAGACCTCGAAGCAGGATATAATGCTCTGTGATACCAAAAAGTTCAATTCGATTGGGAACTGCCTGAGTTCGAACGGTGCTATGAGTAGGATGGGGTTAGGTTAGGTTAGGTCAGGAACGCCACGATACACTCTAGCAGAGAAGCCAGACAGAAAAGTTTAGAGTGATCTGAGAAATTGCTCAATTCTCTTTTTATCCATGACACTGACGACAACAACAAAAAAAAGGGGTAATATCGAATATATGCCTTGAACATCATCATCAAATTCCAGATCAAACATATCCTATTTCCGCCCAAAGTAATCATATTAGTACCACACCCAAACATGGACACCAGGGGAAAAAGGGGCGAAAACGTACCCTTCCGCGCCCCCTGGAAAAAGAACCGCACCACAAACACCTGCAGCGCGGCCATGGACACCATCATCAGGCCCTCAATGACGCTGAAGTT